CCTAGAACATTTGCATTAGACATGCCTGTTAGATGAAATAGTACTTATTTAATGCTTAATTCATGTTTACCTTATGCTAATTTAATTAGTTATTTTGTAGCAAATAATAGAGGTCCTCATTATTGGGTAGAAAATGATTGGCAAATGGCTAAAGTATTTCATTATTTTCTTAAAAGTTTTTACCAATCCACTTTACAATTTTCTGGTGTGTGTTATCCTATTAGTTCATTGGTAATACATACAATTATAAAAATTTCAGAATTATTTACAAAAAAAAAAAACAATGAAATTTTAAAAGAACCAATAAAGGCAATGAATTTTTTTTTTTTTTTAAGATATTTTAAACCCATTCCTTTTCTTTATTGTTTAGGTGCCATTTTTTATCCTATAATTAAACAAGAAGGTTTCGAAAATGGTTTAGAGACATTAACTGAAAATTTACAAAACTTAGCATTTGTCAATCAAATGGTAAAAAATTGTCTTGCAAAGGTATATTTATAATATGAAAACAGGTATAAGAACCCGTAAAGACACAAAATACAAAGGAAAGTTTAATCAGAAGAAACAAATGAAGACTTCTACACTTGGAGTGCATTTAATAGGCCGAAGAGGAACCGAACCAGAAGCACAGGCGCAACCTCCTCTTCAGAAGCACCAACGACAACAACGAATCTACTGTCCACCATGCAGTCACAAAGTAACGAGCTTCAACAATATTTGGGAACTCCTGAAATGTTACCAACATATCCACAACAAAGAGCCAACTTTGATGTCTTGGAATATTGGAAAACTAGGAAATGTATTTTTCCGGTATTATCAAGACTTGCCTTGGATGTTTTTGCTGTTCCAGTCTCAACCGTCTCATCCGAACAAACATTTAGTGCAAGTGAAAGAATTTTAAATGAAAGGAGGACTAAACTTTCACAAAAAATGATTGAAGTCCTCACATGTCTTCGAGATTGGGAACGGTCGCGCCATCAAAATCAATACGAGGTTCTCGACGATATTTTAATAGAATCATTTCAATTTTGTAATACAGATGATATGGACGAGAGAGGTCCTAGTCAACCCCCAAATTAGTTTTTTTGTAAATTGTAACTTGTAAATTAATTGTCAATTATTGTACTATTTTTTCCTTATCAAGTTTTTGTCCCATTGGGTTTTTCTTAGTGAGGTTTTTAACGAGACAATAATTATTGTAATTTCTTATTTTATTTTTTGATAAATGAATAAATTTAATTTTTCTTATATTACAATTTTAATGTATTAAAATTGAATTAATATTTGAAATGTTAACAAAAAAAATTAATTTAATTGAATTATTGATATTTGAAAAGAAGATAACTAAAAACAATTACATTTATTCATTTATAAATTGTTAATTATTCATTTGAAAAGTTAGTTAAATATTTAAACTTAAACAAAACAAAATAAAAAAAAATCAAAAAGGGGGTTAACCCGGCTCGACCCGCAACCTAACCCGATAGGTTAGGGCTGGCGGACCGGGTGGGCCAACCAATCCGCCCAAAATTGACAGGTGAGTCAGGACCAACCCACCAATTTGCGTAACCTATCGCAGGTCAAGTAGGACCAGACGGGTTACTTTTTCACCTCTAAGAAGAAGAAAAAAATATATGGAAAAGTGGGAGAGAGAAAAAGACAAAAGAATTGGAGAGAGAGGAAAAAAGAAGACGAAGATGAAAGAAAAATCTTACCTATGAAATCTTACTTCGCAGACATTTGCATAGAGAGGGAATTTAGTATTAGAATATTAAGAAAATGACATTGCCACCTGAAGTTTATATCTTTTTATATTTTATTTTTAAAATTTTTAATTCAAATGCATGGAAAGAAAGTAGGTAAAAGGCAATCGAAAATGATAAAGTCATCGAAAATTGCGTATCGAATGACGTCACAAAATCTTAACCGTTGATTAATATTAACTGATAATGAATCAACGATCAGGATTTTATCACGTCCTTTGGTGCACAGATTCGGTGTACAACCTTCGATGGCTATAGTATTACTCAAAGGGCAATATATAAAGGAGACAAATTTTTAATTTGTAGAGCATGCGCGTTATCTCTCTTTAATTTTCTTTGTTTAAGATTAGGTCCTTTTTTTTTTCCAAAATTATTAAATATTATCGTTAAAGTTATTAAGGGCCTGTTAGATGTATCATCGATTTCTAATTTTATACTAGTTTCTAGAATTGTATCAAAAACTGTTTTTGAAAACGTTTTCATAAGATTTATTGTTTCCTTTGTTTTTTAAAAACAAAAAAAAAACTATATTTCAATTTTGTATAAAACGACCCCTAAGAATTCCTAAGCTTATAAAAAAATCATCGTGAGATTATAAAAAATCATCGGTAGAAGAATAAAAAATCCTTATGATATAATACAAATATTTAATATTTTTCAAAAATCGACAAAAAACGTTTAATACTTATTGATCTCTCCAAAGTCCAGAATATAAGAAATTAGCTCATTCAAGTTAATTATATTTTTCAAAATTAGCTAGTATTCTAAAATAATATGGCATTAACTATTAGGGTGCCTATGGTTCAATATTTCTACCCATGTTTCCAAGCCTATTCCCTAAATATTGTTTGACACATTATTTGAGAAATATTAGCATATTTTTTAATTACTTTTAGTCCCCTTAAGTTTATTAATTTCATTAAATACCCTCAGAAAAAAGTTTAAAAATTAACAAAAACACCTCCACCCACCTATACTTGCCAGATTTTGACAACCACCATCGGTGGTGGCCGGAATCTAGCGCAACGGCTTACACCACTATGGGAACTGGTTGGTAATTCGTCGATCTGGCCGTCAGCGACGACCAAAGATGGACTTTTGCGGCTGTCGACGGTCACATCTAACTGTAGATCTGGCCTTTTCTAGCCAATCTGTGTCGTAATGCAATTTTCTGGCTAGATTCCGGCGGTGGTGGTTGGAATCTAGCACTGCGGGTGGTGGGGGTGTTTTTGTCATTTTACAAAATTTTTATATATTCGAGTATTTAGTTAAATTAGCAAACCTATGGGGTTTTTTAGAAGTTTTTAACTTTTACCTCGTAATACTCTCCTACTCAACTATCCAATATTATTCCCAAAATCCTATCCAAAGTAATAAACCAAACGCACCCTAGTTATTGAAAATCATATTATCTTTTTTTTTTTTTTTTTTTTCATTATCTAAAATGTCATTCACATTATTAAATTTATATCCAAATTAACTCCACTTTCCTTTTATCCAAACAACTTGTCTAGGAATCTTAATGAAAGATTATGATAGTGAAATTATTTTAATTTATTAAAGTAAATTCCAAATCTTCATCTTTTTAAGATTCTTATGCTTCACTTATTCTATTAAGATTATGTTCTTGTTAGTCACTATCAATTGATGAATTGAATTCCATTATAATCAAGTTTTTATAATATTACAATTACAAATGGTCACGCCTATTTGATATCTATATCGTGTAGTATCGTAGAATTTTTCATAAATTATCTACGCGGTAGATACTTTTATATAAACGTGTAACCAAAAAATCATAGTAAACAATGATTTATAATATTTTTTAAGTTATTAAAATATTTTTATTAAAATTTAAAAATTTCCATTTCGAATCAGAAATATCCACGATGGTACCATATCAGCAATATCACGTACTAACGCATGCATGGCTCGTGAATATTTAATTTAATAACTCTTAATTATATATATTGTAAAAATTATATAAAAAGAATAAATTTGGACATGGCATACCTTGTACTATGGTTACGGTTATAACCATACCTCTGTGATATTCTAATTTTTTCCTGGAATAAAAACTAATTATATAAAAATATCAAAGAGTCAAAGTGAGGTCAAAAGGGTGTCTAAATTTGATTGAAACCACACCAGAAATGTTAAAAAAAATTATGAACAACCAAAAAATAGTTGGAGGAAGAGAAAAAAAATTGGTACTAAGAATAGAAAATTGATTCCCAGCCTGTGAGTGGGATTTCCCCTCTTCATATTGAGAAGAAGATGCTCATTCCTATTCATTACTTTTTTAGTCAAACACAAAAGGCATTCTCACAAGAGAGTGAGTGCCTCCCCGTTCTTATTCTTATTCCCATTCCATTGCAGTTTTCGAGATTTCATTGTAGTTAAATCGAACCTGCCGGTGCATGGAATACAGCTTCCAATAAACTTTAAAGGTATAATTGCTTCTTGCACAAGAAAGTTTATTTTTTTTGGTTTTGTGATTGTTTGGTTTGTTCTTGGTGCTGAATTTTCATAACCCTTTAAGCTTCATGATAAAGATGAATGGTTGGTTCATGTCAAAGCTAGTGAGGTTTAATCTTTACAGCAAAAGAATTTTTTTCTTTCTTTTGTGTTTGTTTTTTCGTTGTTTGGTCCATTGTTAATGAAGATGTTTCGTGACCCCCTTTAAGCTTTTGCAGGGAATGATAAAAAATAATGGTTGGTTCATGCAAGAGATGAGTTGAAGCTTAACTTTTTTTTTTTTTTTTTTTTGGTGTTTTAGATTGTTTGGATTATTGTTGGTGATGATTTTTCGTAACCCCTTAAGCTTCTTCGTGAAATGATAAAAAAAATTAAATGGTTGGTTCATGTCAAGGCTAGTTGAGGTTTAATCTTTACAGCAAAAGATTTTTTTTTTTTTTGAAGATGTTATGGTTGGCTCATGTCAAAGCTAGTTAAGGAATTCAATCTTTATAGCTTTTTTTTTTTTTTTTTCTGTATCTTTTTCGTTGTTTTTTCCATTATTTATGAAGATGTTTAAAACCCTTTAAGTTTTGGATGGAATGATAGAAATTAATGGTTGATTCATGTAAAACATGACTTGAAGCTTAATTATTTTAGCAAAAAAAAGGAAGCTTGTGATGATTCTAGCTTCTATTGATTCTTGTTTTTTAATGTGGATTATTATTGTTTGAAAAAATTCCGCTTAACCGCTGGGGCCGTGTTCGATATTGCATTAATGGTGATGATTAATAGTCATTGAAGCTTGTGCATGAAATATGACACTTGGCAGCCATTATATGAATGCAATGACCACTTTTGAAGATTCTTATGCAACTGGGTTGTTTCTGAACCTGATGCGGACACATGTAATCTCTTTTTTAAATCAGTTCAAATTCAGAGGAAAGAAGAAGACAACTTTTTTCTGGGATGTGAAGGCCCACCCTTGTCCTTATTTCATCTCTTTCTCCCTTGTAGCCTAGAAAAAAGTCTTAAACTGAAACCAACTTCACTTACACAAACACTCTTGTGGCTTATATTTTGGCAGGTCTCAATTCTGTTTTGATTGAGTGAAAATGACTGATACGTTCTTGGTTTTGAGTTTGGTGGGTGTGGATTTGATGTTTGAGAAATGGATCAAATGAATGTGGAATTCTTTGGTAAAGGTGAATTTGTTGAGAGTTGGCGATGCTTTAATCTTTTTCTTCTTGTTGATAGGTGGTTTCTTGCTTGGATGAATAAATATTGTTGATGTTTCAAAGCTGAAATTTTTCTCTTCAAGTTTCCGGCTTAATTTCTTGGAAAGTTCAAAGGCTGATAGAAACTGAGAGTTTCTTAAGGAAATTAAATTTGTTGGGGCTTACAGTGAAGTGAAAGGTACTCCTTGTTTCTTCTTTCCAACTTTGAATTTAGAAACTTCTCTGTTGACGGGTGAAAGTCCAAGCTCTCATTTTCTAGAAGCTTTTATTGACTGAAAAATCTCTAAGAGTTGTGGAGCTCAGCTTGTGAAAATCTACAGGAACATTGTGGCCTCAGAGACTAAATTATTTAACTTGGCTTCTTGTGGACAACTTGAAGCTTTTAATCATATAATGGCTGAAGAATATGATAATTTCCCTTCTTCTGATAAGAATAAACCTCCCCTCTACATTTTCTTCAGGAATGCCAGGTATCATTTTAAATTTTGTACTTAACTTACGATTTTGTATTTGATTGTTCAGGAGACAAAATTCGACATCGTGATCTTGTGTTGTTCATCATCTAACTCTGCTTCGAAATTTTACTAATTGAACCTTTATTATACTGTGAACAGAAATGCTTTGAAGTTGGATGAACTTGGTTTAGAAATATTACAGATTGCACTGCCTGCATCACTGGCTTTGACAGCGGATCCAATTGCTTCTTTAGTTGATACAGCTTTTATTGGCCAAATAGGTATTTCCTTCTCTTTATTCATTCTGAAATTTCATCATTTCGCAAAGGCTAGTTCACTACTTATCCTTGGAATAAATCATCTAATTATGTCTTAACCGGTACAGGCCCAGTAGAACTTGCAGCTGTAGGAGTTGCTATTGCTCTATTCAATCAAATATCAAGAATTGCAATCTTTCCACTCGTCAGTATCACAACTTCTTTCGTTGCCGAGGAAGATACTGTTAATAAAACCAATCAAGAGGCACAACAGTTGGATGGGTACTTAGAATCTGGTGATGCTGAAAATAAGGAGTTGCTGCCAAAAAATGGTATGATATATCTATGTTTCTAATGCTTATTAGTGTTGTTCTTGCTAGTACAAGATGATAATAATGGTGTATTTTTGTTTTTTGTTTTTCTTCCCGTTGTATCAGATTCTGGCGAGTCTGGATTCAGAGGCAGTAGCTATGAATCTACAAAATCTGGAAATGAAAGGCGACATATTCCATCAGCCTCATCAGCTTTGGTTATTGGTAGCATCCTCGGCATCCTTGAAGCCATAATCCTTATAACTGGAGCAAAACCTCTATTAGATTTTATGGGAATTGGTGCTGTAAGTACTCATTAGGAGAATCAAAGGCTCTTGAACTTGTTCAGCTGTTTTCTTCTCTATACAAACACTGTAATCTACAACAACTGCTGACCAAAAAGAGCAAAATATGTTTGTTTTTACAGGACTCTCCTATGCTAATCCCTGCTCAACAATACTTGACATTAAGGTCACTCGGTGCCCCTGCAGTTCTTTTATCATTGGCCATGCAAGGGGTCTTTCGCGGATTCAAGGATACCAAAACCCCCTTATATGCCACAGGTAAGCCTTATCTGACTCGAATACTTGATTTACAAGTTAATCTCTTTCAACAGATTGATTTAAATTTCCAACTGCCTTCTAATTTATCTTCTTATGTGAACTAATTCAGTGTCTGGAGACTTAGCAAACATAATTTTGGACCCAATATTCATTTTTGTTTTTCGTTGGGGAGTCAGTGGCGCAGCCATTGCTCATGTTATATCTCAGTAAGTTATATTTATTACTATCAACATACAGAAATTTCAATGCTTCTTTTATGATTCTATGCTTGTTACTTTTGGCTTTGTTTATACAACTCTATGGCCATTACAGGTACCTCATTGCAGTAATACTTTTGTGGAGATTAATAAAGCAAGTCGATCTCATTCCTCCTTCTGTCAAACATCTCCAATTTGGTCGATTTCTTAAGAATGGTAATTAGTCTTTTTTCACATCAACAAATTCTAAGCTAATATGAATCAAGTTGTAATTATTTCAGATTTATTGATGGATGGTTTTTACTTCTTTTAATTGAAAGTTCTCAGACATACTTTTTTCCTGTGTGTTTGAACCCCAGGTTTTCTATTACTGATTAGAGTAATGGCAGTTACATTCTGTGTCACCCTTTCTGCATCTTTGGCTGCACGACAGGGACCAACTCCCATGGCTGCATTTCAGGTCTGCTTGCAGGTTTGGTTGGCAACATCTCTTCTCGCTGATGGTTTGGCTGTTGCTGGTCAGGTTAGATCTTTTTTCCTTGCACCGACTGCATATTTATTTTCATTTCAACTCTCCCAAGAGTCTCAAGACTCAACCAAAATGCTAAACTGTCGTATCATGGTAACATAATCTGCATCTTATTATGCTCGCAGGCAATCCTTGCAAGTTCATTCGCCAAGAAGGACTATGTGAGGGCAACAGAAACTGCAGCTCGAGTATTGCAGGTACCTTATTTTATTCTGAAAGCTCAAACGGTTTTTGACATGATATAATTTTCTCAACTGACTTTCCATTGATGTCCTGCAGTTGGGATTGATTCTCGGGTGCATTCTATCCATCACGCTTTCAGTAGGGCTAACTTATGGAAAAGTATTATTCTCAAGAGACGCTGATGTTCTCCACTTCATTAGTATAGGAATTCCGGTACTCCTTCAGAGCAATAATTAACATTCTTACAAGCTTAAAATGAGAAATAAACACTGAAAACTAATATTACACTATATATCAGTTTGTTGCAGGTACTCAACCTTTGAATTCGTTAGCATTCGTTTTTGATGGTGTCAACTTTGGAGCATCCGATTTCAAATATGCAGCATACTCTATGGCAAGTCATAGTTTCTTTTTCTCCCATGAATATTGAAGTAAGAGTATTATATGAAAATGTTTTTTGACTTGAGACACTTCCTTCTTCAGGTCACAGTAGCTATTTTCAGCATCCTATGCTTGTTGGTTCTCTCCACCACAAGCGGGTTCATCGGACTCTGGGTTGGTCTAACCATCTACATGAGTCTTCGAGCTTTTGCTGGATTTTGGAGGTAGTTTTCATTCATGTCATTCCTTTTCATCCCCACAAGATCATCAAGACTCATGCTTAGACACACGACACATGACACTTCTGTTTAAGAATCTCGACATTTCTAACTCAAGAATCCTCTTACATTTGCAGGATAGGGACCGGAACGGGGCCTTGGGAATTTCTCAAGAGATGAAGTTTGATTCACATTTATGGTGGTTTCAGCTATCAGTTTGGCAGGTCTATAAGAAGTTGCAACACTTTGTTTCCATAATTTTCATCTCATGGAAGCAAACTTTTGCTTTTGGCAATATGTACACCAATGTTTCTGCTTCAAGTTCAGGCTTTTTGGTTGCCTGATATAATTTTTTCCTTCCTAATATGTAGAGATGTAATAGAATGCAGAAAAAATTATGCAAGTATACACGTAAAGAGGAAAAACATATCCTCAATGTTACTTTTGTTTTTGAGGAAGTTAATTCTAGCAAATTCATTCTTCCCATTTGCAAGATTTTGTTTTGTTTTTGCATTTGACGTCGAGAACTACTAACTAATAACACTCGCTTTTTTATTCTCTTTTAATGCTTATCGATTCATCTTTATGTTTTACATTCACTACTTTTGCATATAAATTTTGTGTTACTTAGTAACCAATTCAGAATAATGAGAACTACTAACTAATAATGCTCGCTTTTTCTTTTTCTTTTAATGTTTATTGATTCATCTTTATATTCTATGTTCACTACTTTTGTATATAAATTTTGTGTTACTTAGTAACCAATTCAGAATAATGAAAGTAAAATTTATACTGTCATGTATTTAGACCAAAAGGGTCCATAATTTTTACCCTAAATAATATGTTTGTGTGCTTGTAAAATTTGGATAGAAGCTATTTAATAGTGATCAATATATCTCAATAGCCCCAATGATTTTCAAATATTAGTAAATAAAACCCACAAAGGAGATATTTAATAGTTTCGAAAATTATTATAGCATTTGGACTTATAATCTCTCGAGGGCGGATGAAATTATCCCTTATAACTATACTATTATATAAAGTGGAGTTGGGGATGTTTACCAAATTATTGCAGGCTATTATCATTGGTATAATTGTAGGGTTAATAGCAATATTTTCATGTAAGTATGATTAGATAACAAAAATCCTCTTATGATTATAATAATAACAAAAATCTCTCTATCGTTAAGTTTTTGGTTTTAAAATAAACGGCAGAGGGACAGTTAGGTAAATATTCATTAACCCATCATCTTATAAATTGTACAATTTACTAATGGGAGGGGAACTTATGTTATTCCTAAAATTACATGAAATTTTTTGTAATTTTATTAAGCCTCGGGGGTTGACGTGAAAAAACCAACTTAATATGCTAAATGAGCTAATATTGGCCCAAACTTAAATTTCAGTCCAAAACCTTTCTCAAAATGGGCAACCCATCCCGGCCCGGCCCACCCAGCCCATATATCAACTATAATAGAAAATCTGAACACCAAATCCTCATCCCGCCAAATGTTAACGAACTTTTGAGAATGGCATTAGCTTTGAGTTCAAGTCTCCAAAACCCCTTCACATTAAGACAAACCCAGTTAAAAAATGACCCAAAAAAAGACTTTAATTCAATCATTAAACAGCAAATCAAGCTAAAAAATGACCATGCAATTCTCTCAACATATACCCAAATGGAATCCCTCAACATAGTCCCTGATACCTCCATTTTGCCACTTATTATCAAGGCGTGTACGCGCCTAAACGCCGTGGAGAGAGGCAAGAGATTGCATGATTGTATCCGGGGTACAGATTTGATAAAAAACGTGCGTGTTGGGACGGCACTGGTTGATTTTTATGGCAAATTAGGGTTTCTAGAGGATGCGCAGAATGTGTTTGATGAAATATGTGAGAGAGATTTGGTTTCATGGAATGCGATGGTAAATGGGTGTGTGGAGTGTGGGTGTTATGAGGAAGCAATTTTGCTGGTTTTCCGGATGCAAATGGAGGGTTTGAGGCCTAATTCGCGCACTGTGGTAGCGTTGCTTGTTGCTTGTCAAGAGGGGTTAAATTTGAGGTTAGGGAAGGCGGTTCATGGTTTTTGTTTGAGGAATGGACTTTTTGAAGCTTATCCTCATGTCGGTACTGCTTTAATGAGGTTTTATTTGGGTCTTGATGTGAGGGTTTCACGACTCGTGTTCGATTTGATGGATGTTAAGAATATTGTGAGCTGGAATGCTATGATCAATGGGTATCTTGATAATGGGGATTGCTTTAAAGCTTTGAAACTTTTTGAAAGGATGGTCATGGATGGGGTTGAGTCTGATTCCGTTACAATAATGGTTGTTATTCAGGCTTGTGCAGAATTTCAATATCTTGAATTGGGCATGCAAGTCCATGCTATGGCTATTAAGTTTGGGTTTAAAAATGATTTGTTCATAGTGAATGCACTGATCAATATGTATAGTGAGATTGGATATTTGGAATTTTCATGTAAATTATTTGATACCATCCCAACCCCTGACAATGCTTTGTGGAATTCTATGATATCTGCATACATCGAATACGGGTATTACGAGGAAGCTATTAGTCTCTTTATTAGAATGCAAAAAGAAGGCATTATAGAAGACGAAAGAACCATTGTTATTATGCTCTCTTTATGTGCAGAGTTGACTGGTTGCTTGAAAGAGGGTAAGAACTTACATGCTCTTGCAGTCAAGAGTAGAATGAGCTTAGACACTTCTATGGGAAATGCGTTGCTTGGTATGTATTCTAAGCAAAATTGTATCGAATCAGTCAAGAAGGTTTACTGTGAGATGAGTAATGTAGATGTTGTCTCATATAACACTTTGATTTTTGCATTGGCCCGTAACTATTTAAGAGATGAAGCATGGGAAGTCTTCGGGGCAATGCGAGAGTCTGAAATCAAACCTAACTCTTACACCATTATATCTATTCTTGCTTCTTGTGAAAATGAAACTTGTCTTAATATTGGGAGATCACTCCATGGTTTTGTGATAAAATATGGCATTGAAATAAACCAGTCATTAAACACTGCACTCACTGATATGTATTTGAATTGTGGAGATGAAGCAGCAGCAAGGAATCTATTTGATGGATTTCCAGATAGGGATTTAATCGCATGGAATGCTTTGATTGCGAGTTATATTAAAAATAACGATGCTAACAAAGCTGTGTTACTCTTTAACCAGATGGTATCTGAAGTGGAACCAAACTCAGTCACAATCATAAATGTTCTCTCGTCATGTACCCATCTTGCCAATCTACCTCATGGTCAATCTTTGCATGCATATGTAACACGGCGAGAGTCCTTTCTGGGTTTCGATTTGTCTCTTGCAAATGCTCTTATGACAATGTATGCAAGATGTGGTAGTCTGAAAAATGCCGAAAAGATCTTTAAAACCCTACCGAGGAGAAATATCATTTCATGGAATGCCATCATAACTGGCTATGGTATGCATGGCCGTGGGTACGATGCTGTTCTTTCCTTCCTACAAATGTTAGAAGTTGGTTTCCAACCAAATGGAGTAACATTCATAGCTCTTCTGTCTGCTTGTAGCCATTCTGGTTTGATAGAAAAAGGGTTAGAGATTTTTCACTCCATGGTTCGGGATTACAACATCATTCCTGAGCTTGCTCACTATGGTTGTGTCGTTGACCTGCTTGGTCGTGGGGGCTGCTTAGATGAAGCTAAAGAGTTCATCAAAATGATGCCTATTGAACCAGATGCATCGGTATGGAGAGCTCTACTTAGTGCTAGTCGGCTTCATATTGACACCGAAGAAGCTAGAGCCATTTTTGAGAAACTTGTCGAATTAGAACCAACGAATGCAGGGAACTATGTCTTAACATCCAATATTTATGCTGCAGCTGGTCTTTGGTCAGAAGTCAGACAGATAAGAACAAGGCTCAGGGACAAGGGTCTTAAAAAGCCTCCAGGAATTAGTTGGATTGTCGTTAGAAATCAGATTCACTCTTTTACTGCTGGAAGTAGATTGCATCCGATGTCTGACAATATCTATGAAACTTTGAGTTCATTGTTATCCTCAATTAAAGAAGTCGGATACGTACCTGATTTTCGCTCTGTATTGCATAATGAAGAGGATTAGCTTATCATTCAGCGGCAATTCAGCTCTGTTGAGAACCTCGTTTTTGGAGATTGGACTGAACACCATGAGGTTGGGACCTCATCATGATCTTTCAGAATGTAAGGCTTTGCTTTGATTGTCCTTAACTAAGCTAACGTGTCATTTTTAATTACTGGGAGAATGATTCCTGGGGATGTTTCCTTTTCATTAATCAATTAACAGTTTCCCCAGATGAATACTGTTAAACAATTTCTTGACATTCTATTTCTAATATTTGTCGGTTGCTGAAATATGCAGGAAAACCTTGCAAGACTGGAAGTTCAGACATATGTTTGGAAGGACCACAAACCTTCAACCTGGAACATTAGGGAAGAAGTGGCAACCACTGAATCCAGGACTTGCAGCAATAGAACGCCGTTACAATTCTCATATTTTCGACATCTATAGAATAATTTATGAAAGTTCAGTAAAATAATACTGCATTGTACATATTTATCCTGTTTTGTCACGGATACAACAAGAACTAGATGAACCTTTTTGGATCCAAAATAATCATCACAAGTCTAAGCTGTATGAAGACATGAAGATGGGTCAGTTCTTCCGTTTGCTCAGCTAATAAAGAATCCAAGGTTAGAAGAAGAGCGTCGTGAAGAATCCAACCCCAGAAAGATTCATTCTCAAGTCAAAGATGCAACATATAACCGAAATAGACGCTGACGATCCTGATACAATTAGAGCAGTTGGAAGACTCAGCTGCATTATAGGTTTTTTGCAGGTAAATTTCCTGTTTTAGTTGAATTTAACTATTCAAACATTGCAAAAGATGAAAAGTTTGCACATAAAATTTATTCACTTTATTGCTTGAACCTTTACTGAATCTTGTCTTCCTCAGTTTAGATTTCACAATTCATTAACTTCAGTTTCAGATAGCCAATTTTTAGCCATGAATGCTTTGATTCTTGGTTTTCATGAATTTGCAGCGTCAGCTAAAATTGAATATTGATGGTGTGGATGTTTAAGATGAGCCAATAAGAGGTCTTAAGATCAAACTTTTTTCTTCATACTATGCTTTAAATCAATGGATCGCCTTGGTCCTAAGAAAGATACCAGCATAAGGGAGAACCACTTAAAATGATAAGATAAAAAAAAATTAATGTCAAAAATCTCCTGAGATATAATATAATGATATAAAAAAAATCTTTATGAGGTTTTCGAAATAATAGAAATCTCCATGTAGTTGATTGTTAATAGCTTGTTAAAATTTACAATGTTTGAGTTAATAAATATTACCAAATTGCCCTCAACCGTTCTTTAACGCCTATAACTTTGTATTTATAACCTAAAGGAAATTTTTGTTATTATATATATCTCAAAAAGATTAAATATCATTAGCTTGGTTGAGATGATAAGTATTCATAATTACTTATTCTTTCCACATAAGGTAAATTTGTTTATATAATGATACATTGAAGCAGTGTGACTTTGAAGGATTTGATTTTTCTAATTATGGAAATAAGAAAAGGTCATTCTATGATAAAATTTAAAAGTGATTTTCTGTACAAATTTTTTGACTTATTATACAAATTAACATATATCAAGTAGAGCATATCATTGTTCTTCTTTTTGTATTTTTTGAAAGAATTAATATCATTTTACCCTCAAGTTACGAATAATATTTAATTATATCATTAGTATTCTATTAGGGTGAACCCTTAAATATTCTTGGTCATTACTAAACATCGTGACTTAATCAAGATAGCATATCAATAATATGAGCTAAACAACCTACGAGAACTTAGTGGATGATCAGATTTGTGGTTTGTTCCCATAAGATATGGTTTCGAGTCCCGTCTTGGGCACCTGCATGATCAAAGGTCATCTGCCATGTTTGTAGGGTTCGGTGGGAGGCAATCTAAACAAGTTACGTTTAGAAAAAATAAAATAAAAAAGTGGTAATATTTATATAATACTTGATATTTAGACCTCCAAATGCACAAAAACCATACCTAAACAATAACAATATCACTATCTCAAGAGTCAAAAAACAGAAGAGATAAATTCCTTCCTTGTAACTCAGCAATTTGGCCACCACATGTGAAATCAAAATTTAAGAATTCCCCCACTACAATAAAAGACAAAACCAACTAGAGGAGTTAGTGGGGTGACAATGGCATCATATCTTGGTACATGATACCTTAAAGCCCCCATCAAAGTTATAAAGAAAGTAGGTTCCACATCACATCTCATTAGTCTTTTAGATAAGAAAAAGAAAAATTCTCCATCCAACCACACATTCATTTCATCTTTCTCGTAAGCTTTCCACCGCCACCATCACCACCACCCTACTTGTTGGGTTCCACCTGATCACATATTCAAAGCATTATAATTGAATAGTAGTTTGATAACATTATCGAGTCGATATCTGATGAAGTGCACGTAACATCAGAGCAAAGCAAATGCAAATAGTTGATAATGACCTGGTAATCAGTACCAGAATATGATACTATGATCAATAAAACAAATGGATAAAAACAAGCATGTGAAAGGGGGAAAGGATATGAAGATATTGAAAGAATATAATTTGATTGAATAGTGATAAAATATTCCATCATCAAGTGTTCAAACTCATTACAGATTCATCTGAGATGAAAACAATAACAACAAATATCAATAATGAAAAAGGGGACAGTGAACCCCATCTTAATGAAACATGGGAACAATTTCAAGAACAATAAAAATTAAGAGACCTAGGTCATGGAAAGTATCGCAAGAAAACTACCTAACCTGAGTTGGGTCTTTGCTAAACCAGACATTGTCATTTCTTCCTGACTTCTTCTGTAATGACAATAAATAAATGAATAAACAAATGGAGACAAACTTTTCTCTGGCACTTCATTCTTCCTCTGCCTTGTATTGTTACTATCATCTTCTTGACAACCATATGATATCAGGAACCAAGTGATGAATTATTATCAGCAACAAACTAAAAAAAAAAAAAAAAAAATTAACTAATAATTGAGTTTTAACTGTCTCAAGGCTCGGTAAAAGCAGTAGGAATTTTCGCTAAGCAACAATCTGATCGAGCTGCAGTTGCTCAAGCCATGCTCCCAAGTGATCACTGGATTCACTCTCAGGATTTAAATTAGAGCCCTCAACTGAGGGCGCCATGCTTGAGGGTGGAACTATGCTTGCTTCTTTGATCTTTGATGGAGTTTCCTTCAATCGTGATTGAACCCATGAAACATCAGGCTCCTCTCCATTGCGCCCAAATGAAAATGATCTGCGTAACTGATTTAATTCATCAGCCTGAACAGACCAGTCTACTTTGACATTGGGAGATTCCCATTTTGACCAAGAATGCACTGGGGAACCAACAACACTATTAGATTTAGGATCATGTGAAAGGTTAGACCGAAGTTCGGGAGAGCTGAGGCTGCATAACTGTTGCTGCAGCTTCTCACGATGAGCTAGGGCGGATAGACAAGAGTTCATTGGGGATATAGGCTCCACCTTCCGTGGTGAATTTCTCCCTGGAGAGGAGACACCAAATGAACCCTGCAAGAGAGGGTGATCAGCATTCTTTGGAGAGAACAAATTTGTCTTGATTGGAGCTAACATGCTTTGCTGCTGCTGAAATTGATTAAGAGCCATTGATCTGTGTGATGGAGATAAAACAGTTGTAGCAGAAAACTGATCAGAGTATCGAGGAGATGCAACCTCAGGACACAAAAGCTTGTCAAGATTTGTAGGAGTTAGGGTTTTTGAACAAGCAGAAAGATTTGCTTGTGCACCAAATTGTGGCTGAGAAAGATAAGATATATCATTAAGTAACTTCTGATGCTGCATTTCAAAATCTTGCAGCTTATCAAGATCGTCTGCTGGAATGTCTCTAGCACTGAGAGAAGATCTTAAACGGCTCGCCTGAAGGGTGCTGCCTGGGAGATGCAAAGTTGGGATGCTTTGCTGAGGCCAACCCATGGATGACTGTGATATATCATTAGCAGAACACATGGTTGGGCTAAACAGAGAATGTGACATGGCAGACACAGCTGATGGGGAGCCAGGCAACATGTTAAAGGCTGAAGCCATGTGGCCCATCTCCATGGCTGCAGCAGATCGAGGGGATGGCACACCAGATCCAGTAGACACATAAAGAGGTCGCAATTCCTCAGATGTGTGAGCAAAGAAGCACACAGGGCGTGCACAACTTATACCATCCTTACAGAGTCTGGTTCTGTATTGGGCTGGGTGTAGCCAGGACTCAAAAACTCCATGAGCATATTCACACAAATCTCCACGCCCACATGCTCCCTTACGAAAATCAGGACATGGCACACAACTGTAATGGAACTTTCTTGGGTCTCTTCTCCGTGCATTCTCACCTGGATGAGCAAAAGGACACTCAGTCCAATCATGGGAATAAGCTCGGGAACAAGGCCGGATCTTAAAGGAAAACATCCGGAATTCATCAGATGTATACATGCTGTCCTTGATATCAGGAAAAGACGGATCAATAGGATACTCTTTCTTCTCCGGTACAGATGAAGTATGCATATCATCAGGCTTGCAACTAACAAAAGACAAGGGTAAATCTGACACTGAAGCCAAAGAACAAGTATCCAATGATGATGAAAGAGATTGTGAACTGGATCTCAAACTAACAGTTGAAACCTGCATATCATCTAAACAAACAGAAACATCATTCTTCAAAAGTTCTTCAAGGACAACTCTTGAATGGGGAATATTTGGATGAGCAACAATAACATCTAATGGCCGATGTCCATCAGCATCAGTGACATTTGGGTCCGCACCAGCAAGTAAAAGCAACTTGATGACATCGACTGCATTAATAGATCCACTAGAAGCAGCATAATGCAAGGCAGTACTCTTATCTGAACTGCAAGACAGATTTACATCCGCCTTAGTTAAAGAAAGAATTAGTTTCACAACATCAACGCTACCATATTTAGCAGCAACCATAAACGGCGTCATACTCTCAAGAACTTTCTTTTTTGACAACCGTTGGCAGCAATACCAGACTCCAACCTCATGAATATCGGATGCATTACAAATAGATCTCTTGAAACCCTCAGAATCATTATCAGCTGCAAGCTCAAGCAAAGGGGAAAAAGAATGTTTGGTCTCAACCGTTTCAGACAGATAACTCATATTTTTATCTAGAGATGACTTGCTTTGAGGGGAAGCCGGTGGAGACAAGGCCTTAGAACTTAACTTCTCTGAACCTCCACACATGATTTAATAGATCATAAAACAATCTGAAAAGAACAAAACCACCCCTGAAAAATCAACAACTGATCTACAAGAATAAACACACAAAGAATATCTGCAATAAAAAAACAAATCCGATTAACTATAATGATTCCTTAGCATCAATTCCCCACTCAAAAGATAATAAAAACTACATAAAACAAAAACCAAACAAGCTCTTGGTAAAATGAAAGCTACCCAATTCAAATCAACTATACAACCCAAAAGCAAGCACCAAACTAAGAATTCATAGAAAAGCTAGCAAAAAGAGCTATTTGGAGAAAAACGCAAAACAAGGGTCAACAAAAGAATAGATTTTTAAAGATATTTATAGGAAAAAAAAAAGGAGGGGGGTGTGGGGTGGGTGCTGCAAATTCCAAAATATGAAAAATATTAATTCTCGCCAAATATTACATATACTAACATGGAAAATGAAACGCTGATTTTCTGAATCTGGTCCGACAAAATCTCATTATAAATATTTAAAAATCTTAAATTCAAAATTTAAGAAAAAATCCCAAATATAGCAAGAACAAATATTACACCGTAAAACAAAAGTTTATTTATTTATTTATTCAATAAAACAGAGAAAGACCCAATTCTACTAAGATTTAACTTAACAAATCTTTAAAACAAGTCTATAAATTGACCTCATTTTCCCACATTTTCTCACCAACCAAACAGCTCAAACCAACAAGATTCCATAGCATTACCCTACATTAAATTATATAAAAAAAAAAAAAAAACATCACAACAAACTTCGAAGAACCAAAAATTCAAATCAAAATTTACAAACAAAAAACTTCTAAACAGGAACAGAACTCACCGAGCAACTGCACGGAACCATAAAAACACGAACTTGAGAAATCAATGAGTTGAAATTAAATTAAATTAATTAAACTAAATAAACAGAGAGTGAATTTGGGTTGAATTTAAGTTCGAAATTCGAGTGAAATGAAGAGATTTTAAAATTTGGTGCGGGAGAATGGGTGACTGGGAGAGACGGTGACAGAGAGGGCCTGGAGTAGGTGAGTGACAGAGTGACAGTAGGAGTTGGTGACCGGCTCAACCGGTGGAATGTTAAGGGCGCGTTTGGGTGGGGTCGGGTAATACATTATTTTTTGGGGATCCGGAAAATTAAAAAAAATGCTTTTAGGTGGAGCGGAGTTCGGGTGGGTGGTGGTCAAACTAAGTCAAAGTGTCAAACGAAAGTAGAAAAAAGTAAAAAGAAAATTTAGGTCAAATTAATAATAATGCTATGACGATAATATTGTGGGATCGATATTTTGATAAAAAAATAACTAAGCTTTGTTTGTCAAGATAAGAAATCCAAACAATATTGATACGTAAAATATAATATTACCCTTTATGTTTGATTCGTTTAAATTGTCTTGTTTTAGGGATTTGTTAAACGTGTCGGATAATATTGTCCAATCAATATTTTGATTATAATTTATTATATTTTAATAAAATTAACCAAACATGTAATTATATTGTCACTGTTTATATATGTAACTTTATTCTTGATACGTTGAAATGTAAATAATAAAATGACGGGTAAATGATATTGTAATTAATAATGTTACGTTGACAAATTCGTCAATAGAAGATATCGAGACAAGACTTGAGATATGTAATATTACTCTTTATATCTTATTTGTTTAAAACATCCAATTTGTTGGGATTTGTTAACAGTAAATTAACGGGTGTGCTTGTTTTATTATTTTGATTTGTATTTTTTAAATATTATTGATAGGTAGAGTTGGGTGATTATTATGAGGTAAAATTTAAAAATTAATAAAAAAAACCCTAAGTTTGTTAATTTAACTAAACACCCTAATATATAATTTTTTTGTAAAATGATAAAAACACCCCTATCACATATAGTTGTCAAATTTCGACCACCGCTGTCGAAATCTGGCGTTACGGCACACGACCGGCTGGATCTAGTCGATCGTGCAGGAAGATGACATTTTCTAACCAGATCCACCGTTGATCTGACTGGAAAAGTTCAGATCTACGGCCAAAATTAGCCTTTGACGGCCAGATCTGGCTATGTTTGGTCATCAATGACGACCAAAGATATGGCCGTCGTTGAAGACTAGCTACAGCCAGATCTTTAGCCATAGATCTGGCTGGTAAATGATAGATCGGCATACTATCGGATATATCCAGTAGGTAGTGTGTGATTATACTAGATTCTGGACACCTTTCGATGGTGGTGTTGGCTGGAATCTGGGAAATATGGACAGATGGGGGTGTTTTTATCAATTTCTAAACTTTTTTTCGGGAGGTGTTTAGTTAAATTAATAAACTTAAAGGATTTTAAAATAATTGAATAAAATATAATAGTATTTTCATAATTTGGATAAAAACGTGTATTTTAGAAATAGTATTAATAGGATTAGGAAAAATAATTAAACAAACGGGTCTTATATTGCCACATCGATATTTGTATTATTATTTACCATATTTTCACAAACAACAAAAAAAACCAAACATGTAACTATGTTGTCTGCTTTTATATATATATATGTTTTTATCCAAGTTGTAAGATTTTTCTAAAATTTGATTGTTTTTGTCTTTTCAAGTTACATTGACAAGTAAATNGAAATAGTTATAAATAAGAATAAACTCCACATTGTAATAAGTTATAATTTTTCTAATTCTCGTCTTAAGGAAAGTTGTCTCCACATAGTAATAATTATCTGTATATTACCAAAACATATATGTTATGTTACATTAAAGGTTTAAGATGAAATAAAATATTTATCTAAAGTTGTTTGGGACAATGATTTATATTTTAGAGTTGTTACCATATCTTTTACCTTGCTAGTATGTAATAACTTGCTAGTATGGACACCCTCTTGTGGAAGCCAAATATTTTTAGCTTCTTAAGCATGTTTAGAGCTTCATGACACGAAACTTTTTGTATTTCCGTACTATTATCCTTAGGATTATTTTCTTTATGTCATTGTCTAATTGTAGCAATGATTTTTTCTTCGGTTAAAGCATACACGATTTGTTGCTCATTTAGATGATCGAGGAAGACATTAATATCAATTCGATTAGTGTAGTGAAATTGGCAAATCTAATAACTCAATTTTGCAATGACTCTTTTATTTTTCTCATCTGCTTCATTTGTAACTTGCAATTCATCGAAATCAGAGGTCCTAATTTTGCAATGCTTAAAACCATTGGCAATTGTCTATGGCTTCACATCAATTGACCATGTATCAACTGCATTTATAGTTCCATCAATGACACTTATCTTTGCTGGTTCCAAGACACGGTCTTCTATTCATTTCAAAAGTAGGCAATTGAAGCTTTGAATTAAAATCCTAATACTGCTAAAATATGAATTGAAATCCTAATACCGTACTACTAAAACATAAATTAAAAAATAAGCAATCAAAACTATAATTTTTGTAATTACGCCTCCATTAAGTTATAACCTCTTTATAATAATAAAATTAGTTAGTCCCACCATTATGACTATTGAGAGGTTTTACTGTAGTATTTTCATAATGGAGAAACAAACGTGTATTTTGAAAATAGTATTAATAGGATTGGAAAAAATAATTAAACAAACGGACCCTTATATTGTCATATCGATATTTATATTATAAGTTACCATATTTTTAAAAAAAAAAAAAAAAAAAAAACCAAATGTGTAACTATGTTGTTTACTTTTATATGCATATGTTTTTAGAGTAATGCTACAACCACCGATGGTAGTGCACTGAATGACGTAATAAAATCTTGACCATTGATTAATATTAACTTAATATTAATTAACGATCATGATTTTGTTACGTTATTTGGTGCACAAATTTGATGTACTATTATCGGTGGCTGTATTATTTTCCATGTTTTTATCCAAGTTGTAAGATTTTTCTAAAATTGATTGTTTTTGTCTTTTCAAGTTACATTGACAAGTAAATGGTGACATGGCATCTTAGCAATATGATAATTGGTAATTTTACATTAAAAGATAAGTCAAAATAAGAAATTATGACAAGACTTGAGATGTATAAATTACTCTCTTATCTATTTGTCTAAATCGTTTCATTTTTAGGGATTTATCAGCGGCAAAATAATTACGTACAATTGATATTTTATTATAATTTAATAAAAGTTAACTAAATATGGAACTATTTTATCTCTCTATATATAATATATAGATTATTGCACTTTTTTGTGTCAAACTTCCAGTCGGTTAGAAAACGGGAATCTTAGTTGTTTATATAGCACAAAAACATCTTAAAAAACCTAGAGGTATCTGTTCAAGACAAAACCATGCGAGCCTATTAGTAGTCCTTCCTGTAGGCCCAAAGCGATCAATACCTATAAAAAAAATACACCTACCATATGGCTGCAGACGACATAAGAAGAAGTATTATCCATATACTAAGTTTTATCAATTTTTTTTTTTTTTTTTGGCTTTTATCTTTCTAGATATCGTTGACATATAAATAATAAAATGATGTGTAAGTAATATGATAATTGATAATATTATAATTTACAGCAGAAAAAATCAAGATAAGAAATTAAAACAATGTTTGACGATCTTATGAAAATTAACTTATAAGTAGTTACTGTAAGGTAATTTGAGTTTATAAGCATTTAAAATTTAAACAATTACGTGTTTGGTTAAAGTACTTATAATGATTGATAAGTAGTTGACGCGTTTGGTAAAATATAGTTTATAAGTACATTTTATTATTAAAATAACTAAAAAAGGTATTACATTATTTTATCAAATAATAAATAAGATTATATGATGAAATTTTAAAATTAAATATGAGTAATATGATAATATATTAGGTTCCCACCAAATATATATATTTTTTCTTATAAATTCAAAAAAGATATAATAAAACAAATCCGTTTGATTTTAGAGCTTTTATTAGCTTATAAGCTCAACAAACATATGTGCAATATATAGACGTTGTCAAATGAATAAAATGGGGGTATTAAGTTAACAAAATTTTAAATTATATGATTAAATATGATATATATATATATAAAATTAATATATTTTTTTTTGTTGCAACACAACATGTGCTTAAATATAATTTAATAAATTGATTGATCTTAAAATAGGTGTTAAAAAGACTCATTTGACGTCTAATATTATTAAAGATACCTTATTTGTCTTAATCATTCTATATTTAGAGAAATGAATTATATATATTTGATTAAATTAATAAACAAAACCAAACATCATCAAAATAGAGGATTAGTTCTCAAAAATTCAAAATTTAAATAATTTCCTATTAATTGACCAAAATGGTCACCTTATAGATCCCACTTTAAGTTTACTTCATTGAAACTTGAATATTAATCAGCAAAATAAAAAAAATAAAAAATCCTTTAAATCAATTATTGAGGGCATTTAAGTAATTTACAAAATTAAAATTCTTATTAAATCTTCCTATGAAAACCTCCAAAACTTTTAGTAAGAATTTTCTTTAGTTAAAAATTATTTAATTAAAAAAAATAATTTGTTAAATTATTAACTAAAATTTTAAATCATTTTCTAAAAAAAGAAAAAGAAAAGAAAAGCTAAAAACAGAAGACATAAAATAAATAAACAAAAGCAAAAATAAACAATTTATTAATTAATTTCCTTATTTATTTCAAAATTATATTTTTTTACTTACCACAAACCTCTTTCTCTCTCCTTTCATTTTCTCTCTCTAAAACCAACCACCGCTCGCCTTTTCTCTGTGGAGCTCGCCACCATGCCGACAACCACCGGCACCGGCACCGGCACCTCCACCACCGGAATCCTCCACCGCCTGGCCTCCGACGATCAAGACGTCAAGCTCAAGGCTCTCCGTGAGCTCAAGAACCAAATCATTGGTAACCGCACCAAGAAGCTCTCGTTCCTCAAGCTCGGCGCCGTACCTGCTGTCGCCGCTATCCTAGCCGACGCCGTTTCGGCCGATGACGTCGTCAATGACAATAATTATGATAATAAGAATAATGATCATAATTGTAGTGTTAACAAAAATATTATTGTACAGTCAGCTGCGGTGCTTGGCAGCTTCGCTTGCGGCTTCGACGCCGGAGTCCAAGCCGTTCTTGAAGCTGGCGCGTTTCCGAATTTGTCGCGGCTCCTTTCGAATCTCGATGACAAGGTTAAATTTTAAATTGAACTATTCATATTTTTGTTCTGATTTAATTTGCATGGTAATTCGTTTTTTCGTGTTTTTCTTTTAATAAATGATGCAATAATTGAAGTTACGTTTTGATTAACGATGAGCTAGTTGTGAATTCAATGGAGCTTAATAGCTTTTGAATGAAGTTGGGATGAGGTTAATGCATTGAATTGATTACATTTTGGGAAAGTTTTTAGCTTTAATTTATTGCGAAAGTGTTGAAGGTGATAGTTATTGGATGCATTTTCTCCATCGCAATAGAGTAGAATGAAAAGAGATGATGCATACACATTTTTTTTTTTTTTTTTTTAAGCCTGGAAATTGCTTGGTGTTGTAACCAGTTTGAAACGAGGGACTTGGGTGGATCTCTTGATAGAATGGTGCACTCTCTTACTCTTTGGGGTTCACCATTTTTTGTCTGCTTGATAAATATAGTTTTATTAGAAACTTTTGCCTGCCGTAAAATTCCTATTAGTCGGTAATTCCGGGGAGGCTCTTGTGGAAGATAATTTATTATCAGCAGAACAACATATGAAGCTCCTGGACCGGGAGCTAGAATCTTGATAGGGTCACAAAGGCTGTATTTATGGTAACTTTTTTGAATCTTAGGGCTGATGTATTTTTATATTACATGTCATGGATTGAAGTTTATTTTTCATTGGTAATGTGAGATGCAATTTTGTTAAAAGATTATAGTAAAAGCTCACACATTATAGCTAAATGATAGAATATACCGAACTAATTTGCTAAGCAAAAGTGGACTCATGTCATATAAAGTGAAAGTGATTATGGACCCTAAATAGTGAACTAATTGAGCCTACTCTTGTTGAATCATGTATGGGCAAAGCTTCATGCTCGATCACATACCATAATCCAGAACAAACTGCACCTTAGCTAACATTGTTGATGCTTCTGTTTCTAATTTTTCCCCCTTTTTTTTGGTTCAATCACAGAACTGACTCCATTCTATATACCTCATAGCTGTAAATTGCCACTTTGTTTGGTTCTTCAGGTGGTGGGTGCTGGTGCTCGTTCTCTTAAAATGATTTATCAATCAAAATTTGCTCCAAAGTATGATTTCCTTGAAGAGAAAAACGTGGAATTTCTTCTTTCATTACTGAATAATGGAAATGAAAATGTTAATGGGCTTGGTGCAAGTATTATTACCCATTCCTGTAAGACAAGTTTAGAGCAGAAGATATTGTTTGATGCTGGGGTTTTAAAGAAGCTTACCAGCCTTCTTAAAGGTTCTTTAAGTCAGAGAGATGCCAGTTTAGAGTCTCTAGCGACAATCTTCAAAAACAATCCTGAAGTTGTTTTAAAGTTTGTTGGACCTGACAGTGGAAGAGCTTTGGGTTCTATAATTGAATTAGTGAAGGATAGGTTTATCCGGACAAGATTGTTGGCTTCGTCATGCTTGATTGTCATAAGGAATACGTCTCCTTGCTATCTGCAAGATGTAGGAATCAAAGCCAAACTTATAAATACTCTACTTGAGCTTCTAGATGATCCTGGTCATATTGGAGAAGAAGCTTCCTTTGCTTTCTCTAGTTTGATAACACAAAAGGAAGATATGCAGAAACTAGCATTTGAGCTTAATGCTATCGATAAACTTTACAACCATTTACAAAAGGGTTCATTACATCCTAGACGGTTTGAAGGAATATTGTTGGCATTGGCTGACATGTGCTCAAAGTTGGAATGTTGCAGGGCTAGATTTTTGTCGTTGCAGGTATGGTGTTGCATGCATGTGCCAAGTTAGTAATTTATTATTTCTGGTTTTCCATTTGCTTATTTCTTTTCCTTATCTGTGCGCCTATGCTTTTCGGCATAGTGATTCAGTCTATTCTTTTATTGAATCATCAAGACAAGGTTTGAATCTGTGACTTTATTTTCATAATTTCCTGCTGTATAATATATTTGTTACTGAGTTGCATGATTAGCAATCTTCCTGAAAAAGACACGGCATTGTTTAATTGATGATATGCACATTGATGCAGTAAGAGTTAGCAAAAGTTTTCTAATAATTAGGGGATCTACAAAAAAATTGGGCTCCCAACTAATTGGAGAGGCAGATGAAGATCCTTGGATTCTAAATTGATGGAATAAGCAATAGATATTGATTATTAATTGATATCCTCAAGACAGTTATAGTTTCTTGATTATTAATTGATACGCTGTACTGTGTTTATCTGGGTCTTAGTAATTTTTTTTTTGAGGAAGCTGTTGAGTACTTACATCTTCCCATTGTGGGCATATTTAGAAAAGCAACATGAAATGAGCATTTAGATATTTTGTTTGCTTAATACTAACCTTCAAATTTTTAGTAATTCATTGTTCTTTCCTTGAAAATAGGTATTGAACTTGGTAATAGATGCTCTAGCACATGAAAGTGCTGATGTGCGTACTGCAGCTTGCATTTGCTTAAGAAGCGTATCTCGATCAATCAAGGTTTTCAATATGAATGTTTAGTTTTACGGTATCAAAAACCTGAGTCTAATATGCATAAATTTTTGCTGATAGACATCATTCAGAATTTGAGTGCAGGTTATTTTATGAATGAAACGGTTGTCATTCCCTTGGTTCAGCTTTTAAATGACCCTTCTACTTCTGTCCAGGTATGTGTTTATTTTCTCTCTTGAATACGCTTATTGTATATTGCTGATGAACCTTACTGAGTTTGGAAAGTAGCTTGACTATGTCTCACAGATTCTGTAAACAACTTAAAGGTTTTGGTTGTAACTTCTTTTTCTTATGGAAAATCATGGAATAGAGAATCTGATAGCTTATTTTCTTCTTTGTGGTCAGCACGTCATTTGCTTTTTAACTTCTATTAGTTTAATAAGTATTCTTTTTTGGTTCCTAGCAAAAAAGAAAAAAAAGTTTGCTCAAGAATTCATATTTGATGCTCTTCAATTTTTTTATTTATAAATATGTATATAAAAGGTTTTGTTTTAATGAAATTGTTTTGAATATGCTTGATTTTATGCAAACAAACATGGTTGATATAAAATTCTTTTGGTTATGTTATTGATGTCTGATCTCAAGATTGCATCTTAATCAATTCTTGGAGTTAGATTGTACTTTTTCATCATCTTTATGAGGATTTCTATTGCATAATTCACAAAAAGTATATGAGTGAGACACGTTTTAGTTCTTAGGTGTTTACATTTAGTTTATAACTCAGACAATATGATTTTCCACTGTAGAGTCTTTGGTGCAGATTTTCCTTTGTACATTCTAGAACTCGGGTTGCGTCGTGAATCTCCTTTTTATGCATGTTCAGATTACCCAAACTGTAAATTATGTTTATATGTAACAATTTTTTCCTGGAAATCTTAAATGATTATCCCACTTCGAAACCAAAAGTGGACACTGCAAAGTTTGCTAATCGCTGTGGCTATAGATATTCTCGTATAATCATTCCTACTCTACATCTTCTGGGTATAATTGATTACCATTAGAGGAAGGTCATAGTATTGACTAATTGGAGTTTCTTCCACCAATTACATAGTTTGGAGGAATTGTGTTGCTGACCATGTTATGATATCATCTTGTCAATTCTTTGTGTTTTATAATTATGTTTCATAGAAATCAATGCTCTATTTTTCAGGTTGCTGCTCTTGGTGCTATTAGCAACATAGTGGTTGATCTTACAACTCGTAGGTCAACATTTATACGGTGTGGAGGTGTGAAACAGCTTGTTCAGTTATCAAAATCAATGGATGCAACTATTAGGTTAAATGCTTTATGGGCTTTGAGGAACTTAATGTTCCTAGCAGAAAATAAGTGTAAGGAAGGAGTATTTTCGGAGCTTACTGCACCCTTATTAGCAAGTCTTATCTGTGGTAATGAACATATTTTATTTGTGACTATTTGTATTCCTTTTAACTTATATTTCGCTTTTAAATGTAAGCCACTATTCTTTTGTTGGTACAATGCAGACCCTGAATCTTTTGTTCAAGAGCAAGCTCTGGCCCTTGTTTGTAATCTTATTGATGGATGTATAGACTCTGTTGAGTATATGTTTGCTGAAGATGGTGTTATATTTGATGCTGTTGGAAGACAATTACAGAGTGCTTCAAAAGCTGAAATTGGAATACAGGTTAGAAGTCTTTTCCAGTGGGAAGGTTGAAATAATTTTTAGAAACTTAATTTTTTTATGAAGAATGATTAGGTGGAGTACTTTATTAGTTTCTTATTGTGACTTGTTGTCAATGCTAATCTAGAGTGCGACAAGTTATGTAAGAATCACGCATGGAAACAGTATAAGAAATTCTATTATGTTTGCCTTTGTAGAATGTGAATATTATCATAATCATCCTCCAATAACTTGTGCTATTGCCCAGGTGATAATTTGTGAAAAGCATTGTATTTGTATTGATGTGTCCTGTCCTAGTTTCATTTCATTATAGTATGAATTAATGGATGATAAGCACATTAATACTTGATGTGAGGTGGTGTGCTCCCACCATAACTGAATATAGAAGACTGGTGTGATGGGTTAAATGCATGCACTGATATGTTGTGCATAACAAAACATTACATGTAAAATGATTCTACCTTTAAGGAAAAATGAGAGAAAGAAGAAGAGGCTAATTAAAAGAACTAAGCAATATATACTAAGAGCGGCTTCAGTTGCAGTATATTGTAGAAATAGATTCTTCAATTGCAGTAGTCATTTATAGTCATCAACTTCAATAGGTAAAAGTCTTGTCTAACTAATTCCAATTGCATATCTACGGATAGGAATGATTTTGATTTCAATAATGTTAGATGTACAAACAAATCTTACAAAGATTTCTATACAAACTGATGTGGCGAAAAATGAATGGAAGAGTGAATACAAAAAGTGAAACTCATCATATTCACTCCCATTTGCTGCCACCTCAGTTTGTATAGAAATCTTTGTAAGATTTGTTTGTACCTCTAGTATTACTCTTTTGATTTATATATTGATGTGATACATATCTCAAAGCCACATAATGAATTTTATTTAAAAAATTAACCTGGGGTATTTGAGAGGTTGCATGGAAGAATTAACATTTTACTATACAATGATGTTATTGTAACAAATGTTATTTTATTTATTTTCATATTGTCAAGAATTCTCCAACATTCTGTGGTAAAGGAACCCCAGACCCGGACCCTGCCCCCAAACAAACAAATGCACACAGCCTTAATTGAAGAGATGATAAATAAACTAAGATCTTCCCTGGTTGATGATAAAAGGATCTTGGTACCTTCATTGTTGAATAATAAAAGAAGTATAATAGTTGTGAACCCCCTAAACAGATGAAGAAGCGCAGATCATTAATTTTTCTGCCTGCAATGTGCTCTAGATCAATCTTACTCATGAATTTTTTGTCTTATGGAACTTTTTGGGCTCAAAAGTTGTATTCTATAATTATAGTACACATGGTATAATCAAATCATGTGTACTGTCTGATCTGTTCTTGTATCAAGTGAACTATTGTAAAAACTATTGCTCAATATGATACTTATGACTATGGTTACACAAGTGCTACTTATACTGTCAGATGCATGTGGAAATTTGTGAATTCCATTTATTTTTTGGTTGCGAGGACTTTTGATGAAGTTCTTACATACTGTATAACAATGTGAGATGAAAGGGGTTGGGAGTGGGCCTTTTTCCTTTTGTCCTTTTGACTTATAATCGATTTTCCAAATCCTTCTTATGTAGGGAATGTATGTGCTCAGCAATGTGGCAACTGGAAAAGAGTTTCATAAGGAAGCAGTAATAAACCAACTCCTTCCACATGCGGACAACGGAACCCAATCCTGTATAATTAAGTTTTTGCAGAGTAACGACAGCCGATTACGTACTGCTGCTGTTTGGGCTATAGTAAATCTAACTTGTTCAAGTCCAGGTGCATTTAGCAGGAGTGTAAAACTACGTGATGCTGGCATAGTTTCTCAAATGAAGGAAATGGTGAACGATCCCTGCCTGGATGTAAAGGTCATTAATCTTACATCTCAATTCAGTTTCCTCTATACTCAGTTTAATTTACTGCTAACTTTGTCTAGTTCATTGTTTGGTGCAGCTACGGGTCAGAACAGCGCTCGGACAGTTTACGACTTTTGAGGATGGCTCAATATGATCTTTGTTGAACCAAAGCAAAGAAAACTTATACTGATAGAGTTTCTGGATTTTGGTTTTGACCTTGTTTGTAAGATACTGTTCAGATTTTCTCTGGAGGCTTTCAACAGTGTGGTAATGCTTTAGACAAGTTCATTGTAATTAAATTACTAATTCACCATTTTTTCTAATTCATTTTGGTTTAAATATCTTCAAATAGTTTGTTCAATCATCGTACAATATTATTTCATCCTTTCTCTCCAACTTTTTTCTTTTGCAGGCCCGACAAATTGCTTTGAGTTTTTTGTAGTCAGAGCGGTGTAAGAGCTATCTTTCATTGTTGGTACTGCCGACCAGGTTACATTTGTAAATCTCATTCCATTGATACATACATATTTTTGTTAAATTTTTGTATGTATCAGATAGTGATATAAACTGTATAATTATGTACCATCTGAATTGTATATTGCCTGTGATAGACTGCAGCGGTTTCTTCTAATTTCTATTTAGCTGTTTCCGGCTTCAATCTATTAGCTTTCTTTTGTCGTGCTATCATGTTGATGCATTCCCCGTGTTTATTGCTCTTGTGGAAGCTTAACTTATTGGGTTCTCGATATGGAAAAAACTCTGTTGTAATTTCTCCTTTTGCTGTTTATCCAATAATCTGACAATGTAATGTTGATTCTGTCATCTGTTTTTGATGTTCTTTTCAATGGCTGAGACGATAACATATCTTCCATTCTTTCATTGTCCATCTAAACTTTTGCCTAAACTTTGGTAGAAGAATTGAGCTTGATTGAATGATTTGAATGAACATGATATAATATGATTCTGCAAAATCTGTATCTGCCCAATGCCAGAAGGTCAAAAAAGTTGGTGAAGCCCCAATGAATGGTGGCAACCGAAGCTCCCAGTTTTGGTGCCTTTATTCCAGACCATCTGAAATGATGACTAGTATTCAATTGACTTGTCTGCAGGTTTTGAATGAAGCAGCAAATGCATTGTTGTTAAATTTGTTATATAGAAATCAACCCTTCTTTCAATTGTGCATTTTTTTGGGTCTTTAGAGAACCTATGTCAAAAGTGTTTGTGTGCTTTATTATGAATTGGGGATTTGTTTTACAGTGTATAGATTTCAGGGTATTTTATTCGTGGGTCATGACTGTTTTCTCGGAAAACGAGCAAAAGACAAAGGGCAACCCATCTGACATGCGGATTAGATTCGGTGGCCGGAAGTTTGGGCCAGAGATTAACCATAACTGAAGTGGTTTGAGTGGTGTTAATCAAAATTTAGTGGGAGCACAACAAAGCCTTGTCCCCCCAAAAACAATTATCCAAGTGCCTGATGAAGCATTTTATCTGGTATTTTGTGGTATATTTTAGCTCAAATTTATGTAGGCTAGGTGTTGAGTGACATTCTATGATCAAAGGTTTTTGGTGATCTAATGACAGATGAACCAATATCTAACGTTTGGATGGACGAGTATTACTTTGTCGATGGATCCTTCAAAGGCAGTGGTATAGAACCTATAAAGGTATAAACTTGAGCATTCTGAATCAAATTCTAATGCCAGAAAGGCAGAAACTCTCAAATCAGTAATACACAGAGAGAACCCAGTTTCAGAGCCTTCAATTCAAACTATCTAAAGTGATGAGTGGTATTCATATTATATACAATTTTACAGTATAAATTTTATTACTTGCTAAAAAAATAATATAAATCACAGTTATTGAACCAAACCAAATTGGAGGATAACAAAGCAAAGTTATAACTAGTCTAAGACTAAGAAAGAACACACTGGAAAACCAGAGAGAACATCAAGGCAGATTGAATCTGCCGCCTTCGCTGCTCTTCAGCCAATCTTCTCTGTGTTCGTATCATCTGAAGGCCATATCACCGTCTCGAACAGGCGCTCGCGCATCAACTCCAGGTTCTCATCGGATATCTCTTTGTAGATTTCGGCATGATCACATTTCTGCATCAAATAACAGACAAATAAATGATGAATTCTGGGTTCAAAGTTGTATCTATAATTATAGTACACATGGATGATCAAATCATGTGTACTGTCTGATCTGTTCTTGTATCAAGTGAACATTGTAAAAACTATTGCTCAATATGATACTTATGACTATGGTTACACAAGTGCTACTTATACTGTCAGATGCAGTAGAAATTTGTGAATTCCATTTATTTTTTGGTTGCGAGGACTTTTGATGAAGTTCTTTAATACTGTATAACAATTTGCTCAAGAATTCATATTTGATGCTCTTCAATTTTTTTATTTATAAATATGTATATAAAAGGTTTTGTTTTAATTAAATTGTTTTGAATATGCTTGATTTTATGCAAACAAACATGGTTGATATAAAATTCTTTTGGTTATGTTGTTGATGTGCTGGTCTCAAGATTGCATCTTAATCAATTCTTGGAGTTAGATTGTACTTTTTCATCATCTTTATGAGGATTTCGATTGCATAATTCACAAAAAGTATATGAGTGAGACACGTTTTAGTTCTTAGGGGTTTACATATAGTTCATAACTCAGACAATATGATTTTCCACTGTAGAGTCTTTGGTGCAGATTTTCCTTTGTACATTCTAGAACTCGGGTTGCGTCGTGAATCTCCTTTTTATGCATGTTCAGATTACCCAAACTGTAAATTATGTTTATATGTAACAATTTTTTCCTGGAAATCTTAAATGATTATCCCACTTCGAAACCAAAAGTGGACACTGCAAAGTTTGCTAATCGCTGTGGCTATAGATATTCTCATATAATCATTCCTAGTGGGTATAATTGATTACCATTAGAGGAAGGTCATAGTATTGACTAATTGGAGTTTCTTCCACCAATTACATAGTTTGGAGGAATTGTGTTGCTGACCACGTTATGGTATCATCTTGTCAATTCTTTGTGTTTTATAATTATGTTTCATAGAAATCAATGCTCTATTTTTCAGGTTGCTGCTCTTGGTGCTATTAGCAACATAGTGGTTGATCTTACGACTCGTAGGTCAACATTTATACGGTGTGGAGGTGTGAAACAGCTTGTTCAGTTATCAAAATCAATGGATGCAACTATTAGGTTAAATGCTTTATGGGCTTTGAGGAACTTAATGTTCCTAGCAGAAAATAAGTGTAAGGAAGGAGTATTTTCGGAGCTTACTGCACCCTTATTAGCAAGTCTTATCTGTGGTAATGAACATATTTTATTTGTGACTATTTGTATTCCTTTTAACTTATATTTCGCTTTTAAATGTAAGCCACTATTCTTTTGTTGGTACAATGCAGACCCTGAATCTTTTGTTCAAGAGCAAGCTCTGGCCCTTGTTTGTAATCTTATTGATGGATGTATAGACTCTGTTGAGTATATGTTTGCTGAAGATGGTGTTATATTTGATGCTGTTGGAAGACAATTACAGAGTGCTTCAAAAGCTGAAATTGGAATACAGGTTAGAAGTCTTTTCCAGTGGGAAGGTTGAAATAATTTTTAGAAACTTAATTTTTTTATGAAGAATGATTAGGTGATGTACTTTATTAGTTTCTTATTGTGACTTGTTGTCAATGCTAATCTAGAGTGCGACAAGTTATGTAAGAATCACGCATGGAAACAGCATAAGAAATTCTATTATGTTTGCCTTTGTAGAATGTGAATATTATCATAATCATCCTCCAATAACTTGTGCTATTGCCCAGGTGATAATTTGTGAAAAGCATTGTATTTGTATTGATGTGTCCTGTCCTAGTTTCATTTCATTATAGTATGAATTAATGGATGAGAAGCACATTAATACTTGATGTGAGGTGGTGTGCTCCCACCATAACTGAATATAGAAGACTGGTGTGATGGGTTAAATGCATGCACTGATATGTTGTGCATAACAAAACATTACATGTAAAATGATTCTACCATTAAGGAAAAATGAGAGAAAGAAGAAGAGGCTAATTAAAAGAACTAAGCAATATATACTAAGAGCGGCTTCAGTTGCAGTATATTGTAGAAATAGATTCTTCAATTGCAGTAGTCATTTATAGTCATCAACTTCAATGGGTAAAAGTCTTGTCTAACTAATTCCAATTGCATATCTACGGAAAGGAATGATTTTGATTTCAATAATGTTAGATGTACAAACAAATCTTACAAAGATTTCTATACAAACTGATGTGGCGAAAAATGAATGGAAGAGTGAATACAAAAAGTGAAACTCATCATATTCACTCCCATTTGCTGCCACCTCAGTTTGTATAGAAATCTTTGTAAGATTTGTTTATACGTCTAGTATTACTCTTTTGATTTATATATTGATGTGATACATATCTCAAAGCCACATAATGAATTTTATTTAAAAAAATTAACCTGGGGTATTTGAGAGGTTGCATGGAAGAATTAACATTTTACTATACAATGATGTTATTGTAACAAATGTTATTTTATTTATTTTCATGTTGGTCAAGAATTCTCCAACATTCTGTGGTAAGGGAACCCCAGACCCTGACTCTGCCCCCAAACAAACAAATACACACAGCCTTAATTAAAGAGATGATAAATAAACTAAGATCTTCCCTGGTTGATGATAAAAGGATCTTGGTACCTTCATTGTTGAATAATAAAAGAAGTATAATAGTTGTGAACCCCCTAAACAGATGAAGAAGCGCAGATCATTAATTTTTCTGCCTGCAATGTGCTCTAGATCAATCTTACTCATGAATTTTTTGTCTCATGCAACTTATTGGGCTCAAAGTTGTATTCTATAATTATAGTACACATGGTATGATCAAATCATGTGTACTGTCTGATCTGTTCTTGTATCAAGTGAACTATTGTAAAAACTATTGCTCAATATGATACTTATGACTATGGTTACACAAGTGCTACTTATACTGTCAGATGCATGTGGAAATTTGTGAATTCCATTTATTTTTTGGTTGCGAGGACTTTTGATGAAGTTCTTACATACTGTATAACAATGTGAGATGAAAGGGGTTGGGAGTGGGCCTTTTTCCTTTTGTCCTTTTGACTTATAATCGATTTTCCAAATCCTTCTTATGTAGGGAATGTATGTGCTCAGCAATGTGGCAACTGGAAAAGAGTTTCATAAGGAAGCAGTAATAAACCAACTCCTTCCACATGCGGACAACGGAACCCAATCCTGTATAATTAAGTTTTTGCGGAGTAACGACAGCCGATTACGTACTGCTGCTGTTTGGGCTATAGTAAATCTAACTTGTTCAAGTCCAGGTGCATTTAGCAGGCGTGTAAAACTACGTGATACTGGCATAGTTTCTCAAATGAAGGAAATGGTGAACGATCCCTGCCTGGATGTAAAGGTCATTATTCTTACATCTCAATTCAGTTTCCTCTATACTCAGTTTAATTTACTGCTAACTTTGTCTAGTTCATTGTTTGGTGCAGCTACGGGTCAGAACAGCGCTCGGACAGTTTACGACTTTTGAGGATGGCTCAATATGATCTTTGTTGAACCAAAGCAAAGAAAACTTATACTGATAGAGTTTCTGGATTTTGGTTTTGACCTTGTTTGTAAGATACTGTTCAGATTTTCTCTGGAGGCTTTCAACAGTGTGGTAATGCTTTAGACAAGTTCATTGTAATTAAATTACTAATTCACCATTTTTTCTAATTCATTTTGGTTTAAATATCTTCAAATAGTTTGTTCAATCATCGTACAATATTATTTCATCCTTTCTCTCCAACTTTTTTCTTTTGCAGGCCCGACAAATTGCTTTGAGTTTTTTGTAGTCAGAGCGGTGTAAGAGCTATCTTTCATTGTTGGTACTGCCGACCAGGTTACATTTGTAAATCTCATTCCATTGATACATACATATTTTTGTTAAATTTTTGTATGTATCAGATAGTGATATAAACTGTATAATTATGTACCATCTGAATTGTATATTGCCTGTGATAGACTGCAGCGGTTTCTTCTAATTTCTATTTAGCTGTTTCCGGCTTCAATCTATTAGCTTTCTTTTGTCGTGCTATCATGTTGATGCATTCCCCGTGTTTATTGCTCTTGTGGAAGCTTAACTTATTGGGTTCTCGATATGGAAAAAACTCTGTTGTAATTTCTCCTTTTGCTGTTTATCCAATAATCTGACAATGTAATGTTGATTCTGTCATCTGTTTTTGATGTTCTTTTCAATGGCTGAGACGATAACATATCTTCCATTCTTTCATTGTCCATCTAAACTTTTGCCTAAACTTTGGTAGAAGAATTGAGCTTGATTGAATGATTTGAATGAACATGATATAATATGATTCTGCAAAATCTGTATCTGCCCAATGCCAGAAGGTCAAAAAAGTTGGTGAAGCCCCAATGAATGGTGGCAACCGAAGCTCCCAGTTTTGGTGCCTTTATTCCAGACCATCTGAAATGATGACTAGTATTCAATTGACTTGTCTGCAGGTTTTGAATGAAGCAGCAAATGCATTGTTGTTAAATTTGTTATATAGAAATCAACCCTTCTTTCAATTGTGCATTTTTTTGGGTCTTTAGAGAACCTATGTCAAAAGTGTTTGTGTGCTTTATTATGAATTGGGGATTTGTTTTACAGTGTATAGATTTCAGGGTATTTTATTCGTGGGTCATGACTGTTTTCTCGGAAAACGAGCAAAAGACAAAGGGCAACCCATCTGACATGCGGATTAGATTCGGTGGCCGGAAGTTTGGGCCAGAGATTAACCATAACTGAAGTGGTTTGAGTGGTGTTAATCAAAATTTAGTGGGAGCACAACAAAGCCTTGTCCCCCCAAAAACAATTATCCAAGTGCCTGATGAAGCATTTTATCTGGTATTTTGTGGTATATTTTAGCTCAAATTTATGTAGGCTAGGTGTTGAGTGACATTCTATGATCAAAGGTTTTTGGTGATCTAATGACAGATGAACCAATATCTAACGTTTGGATGGACGAGTATTACTTTGTCGATGGATCCTTCAAAGGCAGTGGTATAGAACCTATAAAGGTATAATCTTGAGCATTCTGAATCAAATTCTAATGCCAGAAAGGCAGAAACTCTCAAATCAGTAATACACAGAGAGAACCCAGTTTCAGAGCCTTCAATTCAAACTATCTAAAGTGATGAGTGGTATTCATATTATATACAATTTTACAGTATAAATTTTATTACTTGCTAAAAAAATAATATAAATCACAGTTATTGAGCCAAACCAAATCGGAGGATAACAAAGCAAAGTTATAACTAGTCTAAGACTAAGAAAGAACACACTGGAAAACCGGAGAGAACATCAAGGCAGATTGAATCCGCCACCTTTGCTGCTCCTCAGCCAATCTTCTCTGTGTTCGTATCATCTGAAGGCCATATCACCGTCTCGAACAGGCGTTCGCGCATCAACTCCAGGTTCTCATCGGATATCTCTTTGTAGATTTCAGCATGATCACATTTCTGCATCAAATAACAGACAAATAAATGATGAATTCTGGGTTCTATTACATGTTGAGAAACAAAAGCAAGACAATTCTGGACTGATTTTCATTACCTTAACCCATTTTCCATATAAATGCAGTCGTGTTATCATTACTCTTTCTGCAAGATCTTGCTTCTCCTGCAAGCAAAAAAATAAGATTTCAATGATTATAGGATGGTGGAAAAACCTAGCGAGATTGAGTAATACTATAAATACAAAGAAATTTCATAAAGAATTTTATACAAAGCGATATTGTAGAAAATGAATGAAATAGTGAATATGATAAGTTATCATATTTGACTTTTTGTATTTACTCTTTCGTTTATTTTCTATATATCACTTTGTATAAAAAATTTTGTAAAATTTTTTATATGTCTAATATTATTGGGCGGGATTAGTACGTGAAAAAACCACGTTTGCCAGGTGAAAATACCCGGAAAATTTTGGGCTAGGGGTGACCACGGGGAAAATGACCCACCCCTGGCCTTGTTCCCAAAAATCCGGGGTTACTGTGTAAAGCACGAAGAGGTTTCAGAAAACTACCTTTACAAGAGTTCGGAGGAAACGTTTGCCATCTCCAGGTTTATTTGATACAACAAAACTGTTGAAACAAAGAAATGAAAGCAGAAATTACTTTAAAAAAAAAAAAAAAAAAAAACAGTTTCTTTGCTTTCTGTTGCCATTATTACTGTAAAATTTCAAATACTTACTCATAAAACCACCTATACTGTGTTGGATTCATCTCATAGAGCTGGTTCATGACAGTCCTGACTGCTTTATATGTGAAATAGTTAAGGATTTGCTGCATTCAGAAAACAATTCAGTCAATTAAAATTGAAAATAAAAACAAGAAAAAAATCATAGTGTTATATGACCTATTTGAAACTAGGGTTTTTTGTCGAACCTTACGATCTTCATGATTAAGAAATTTATTGATATGATATGAAAGAGAATATCATATTCATTGTGCTTAACACGATATATAATTCTACCAAAGAGGAACTTATATATATATATATAAATATGATAAAACATTAAAATTAATGTTTTCACTATTTTCATTTTCGAGCGATTGATTTCAAAATATGCCGTAAAATAAACCACAAAAAATATAAATCACATTCCCTTTCCTCAAAACATTATTACTAAATGTATTTTCAATGTTTTCATTGATTTTCTTATCGATTTTCATGATATACTATCTAATCCAAAATATACAAAAGAAGAAAAAAAAAATTGATGTTTTATCGAACTATGCTAGCATAGAATTTTTTTTTTTTTTTTTTTTTATGATTCTTGTCAAAACAAGACTCGTCAATAAGAGTATACCACATCAACACGAGTAACATATACTTGTTCTCTTATTAACGAGTCATTACAATAAAATGTATGTTACTATTTTTTTACTAACAGATGTGTTCTTGAATCCAAAAAAACATGCTTAACATAATACACATAAGGTTTTTTTTTTTTTTATTGAAAGTGTTCGAATCAACTTACACGCACCTCAATTAATCTTTCAGGACTTTAAAACTATCGATCGGATAAGAACTTCAATGTCTACCGTTATTAACAATCGAGGATGGACTCGAACTCAAAACCTCTTGAATAATATATCTAATAATCTCTATCGAACCGCTCAAAGATGGTTTACAAGTTTTTTTTTCTGCTAATACACACGTTCTCAAAATCTTAAAAACATTGGTGAGTTGTTGTATTACAATAGTTTGATTAGTTTCAAATATGCACTAACAATAAAAAGTCTAGTTTATTACTTAGTTTTCTCATTGGCGAGATGCATTTTCTGGGTATTTAAAAATATAAAATTCAACGTCACATTTAATGAAAAAAGAATAAAAATAATTTCTAATAATAATCTCACCATTTTAACATCTTCAAAGCTATCTTCATACTGTCCAGCAAGTTCATTAACAATCACAAATCTTCCATGTCTTCTCTGCTGTTTCATTTTTCTTGAACAATTATTCCAAATCATCTTCGAAGAAACCCGCCAATCCTGCCATGAATCCACAAAAGAGCTCCCCAATTCCACTCCCCTCTTTACCTGCTTCCTCTTCGCTGAACTCCTCTGCAACGTCAGCTCTCCTCCATTCTTCGGCAACGCCGCCGCCTCCACGCACAGACACGGCCCTGTATGTGAGTCCACCACCGCCGAACCCACCACCGACAACGCTACCACCATCTCCACCACCACAACCACAAACTCAGAATTAAATGAACACAAAATCAACCAGAATTTTGTTCTAGATTAAAAAGTTAATAATTCAATAAAATCAGGGATACCCACTACAGTAAATGAAGTAAAAGAAAGTGGGTATCCGAGAAAATTGGATTTTGACGCAATTCTAGTCCAAGATTCAAAGAATCAAAACGTTATTTGAGTTCATCAAGAATGATGGAAACTGTTTTTATTATTATTATTATTCTTATTATTCTTATTATTAAGGTAACAATGAATCTAAACCAGACAAAATTATGAGGTCCAAAATTCTCCAACCCAAAATCAAAATTGGCGCTTTTGAATTTGAGAAATTTTATTTTTTTTTATTTTTTTTCATTTGGTTTAAGCCTTTAACTACTTGAATCTGGACGGTTTCTCCAGATTGATGGGTTTTCTGACACGTGGTAGGGTCTAAGAATCTTTGATTGGTGTTTTGTGAACGTGTTCATTTTTGTTTAATAGTGTTCTAACGATACTTGTAGTTTTGTAGAATTGATTGTTCCATTCCCACTCGCAGGAGTTGCTCGTGTACTACACTTTCTATTTTGGGATTATTATTTATTTAGGTTAAAATAGTTATAGATTGTGAGAGATTGTAAATGGAGAGATGATAATCATTGTTAGGGAGAACAACATTTTCCCACCCAAAGTTTGAGAAAACGACACTTTTCCACCCGCTAAGTTTCATAACGACATTATTTGATCGAATTGTTAATGAACTCTTTTTGTTTGAAGAAACCTTCGACTAAAATTAGTAACTTTTCTCTGCACATGAGGTGTTCATTGTATGAAAACAACCAAATGATTTCATTCGGTGGTTTTTATTTATGCGTATTGACGAATTTGTCGTATATATATTTAATGGATGGTCTCATCACATTCCCACCCATCCACATATTTCCGACAATCAACCACCACCGTCGGAAGGTGGTCAAAATCTGTCTGAAGCTGAAAAGGCCAGATCGGTGTACGACCTCCATATGCAACCGATCGTGCGCCATTCCGACAATTGTCAACCACTCTCCAATGATGGTAGCCAGCTGTCGGCATTTAATGGGTGAATGATGATGTTTTTGTTAATTTTTAATATTTTTATTGTAAGTGGTGTTTAACTAAATTAACAAATATAAGTTATTAAATTTAAATCATATTCTCGTAATAACAACCCAACTAAACTTTTTAAAAAACATTTTATTAATTATTTTTATAAAATGTTTTCCAAAAAGTATATCATGCTTCAGGGGAATTATTAATGCTATTAACTTATTTTAAAAACATTTTATCAACAAAGATTGGAAAATATATTTGGTCTTCGGTAATTTAATTATAAATTATATGCAAAATAAATAAAATTAAAAATTAGAATTTGAAGTCCACGGTCCTTGAAAGGCGAGTGACAACCAAAGTTGTTGTACTCTTTTAGATGAACAGATTCCACGAGACTTGCAAGGCACGAAGTCGTGTGTACAGCACCCTCACCTAACCAGAAAATACATCATTTTTTTTTTTTCCCTCTAATTAAAAAAATTAAACGCATCACATTTTTTTTATTTTTTTATTTTTTATAGTCTCCAAACCACAAAAGTCGATATATATTTTTTTTTAAATATATTTTAAATTTCACGTTCAAAGTGAGATGTTATCTTATTTAACATTATGAGATATTAAAAGATGAGTGGACTGTGTTTGTTTATTATTTGGGGGATGGTATTTTTAAAAAGTTGAGTTTGGTGGTTATTAAGAGGTATGATTTGAAAATTAACAAAAACACCTCATAAGTTTGTTAATTTAGCTAAATACTCTTATAATAAAATATTAAAAATTAACAACAACACTCTCATCCACCCACCCATTAAATGCTGATAACTGGCCACCACTGTCAAAGGGTGATCGAAAGTTGTCGTAATGACGCACAACTGGTTGGATCTGAAAATTAACAAAAATATCTCCTAAGTTTGTTAATTTAGCTAAACACTCCTACAATAAAATATTGAAAATTAACAAAAACACTCTCACCCATCTATTAAATGCCAACAACCGGCCACCACTGCCGAAGGGTGGCCGGAAGTTGCCGTAATGGAGCACGACAATGCTCCAGTATGGCCAGATTTGGCCAGATTTAGTTGTTAACGAAGGTCAAAGATATGGTCGTTGTTGACGACCAGTTACGGCATAATCAGATCTTTGGTCGTAGATTTGACATTTCTAGCCAGATCCACTGGAGAATGCTAGATTAGTGCACTACCAGTCAATAGTGCACCCTTACGCTAGATTCCGGCCAGGTTTTGACGATGGTGGTTGGAATCTAGCAAATGTGGGTGGGTGAGGGTGTTTTTGTCAATTTCTAATCGAATTTAATAGAATCCTAAAAAATTAATTTTGTCAAACATCTTTAATTTCTCATAAGCTTTTATTTAATTTTTATCGTTTTATTTGGTTGTAATTGCAAAAAATTAAAAAAATTATTCTACATCTACTAAACTATATTTTTTTTCACAATAAAGTTTTGATTATTTGATTGCGTATATTAACGTTTCAACGATATAAAATTTAATTATATTTAAATTAATATATGTAAATAATTAAATATTATATACCCCAAATTAAAAAAATATGGCTTCGTTTGGTTGGATTTTGGGAATACTACTTTTAGTATTCCCAAAAATGTTAAACAGTAAAATACCTAAAAACTCACAATATTATTCAATATTTTTTAAACCCCCTAAATTTGTTAATTCAATTAAATACCCCTAAATATTTTTAATGTTTTTGTTACGGCGACTCCGGCCACCCTCTGGCGGTGGTGGCCGGCTATCCGTATTTGAGGGTAGATTAGGGGTGTTTTTATTAACTTTTAATGTTTTATTATAAGGAGTGTTTTGTAAAAAAATAAACATAAGGGGTATTTTATTAATTTATAAATCTTACATCGTACTACCCGCCCAATTCAACTTTTTTTTTAACTTTTTTCAAAAAACTTTTCCCCATAACACAAAATTGTGAACCAAACAGAGCCATATATTAAAAGTGAAATTAAAACGAAAAGACTATGCACGACGTCGTTTGCCCCTTCGTTCTTCCTGTAAAAATATTTCCGTACCGCGTCGGCATAGCTCCTAAAACATACGTATTGAAGCCCCAAAAAACATAGAAAGTTAATCAGATTCTCCGAGGATGTTCTACAGAGGGTAAGATAATTGTTTATTTTTTTTTTTTGTAATTATTTAAATATACTCTTGATTTAAATGGATTCTTTGTTTGTTTGTTTTGTTATTTACATGAGATACCCACCAGTTTTTCAGGGTTTAGTTTATGTATTCTGAGTTATTTTGTGGCTAATGGTTGGTTTTTCTTGTTAATTTTGATACCCAGAAGCCCTTTTTTCGTGGGTTTCTTGTATTTAAATTTAAAGATCTTTAAAAACTATTCCTTTCATCAGCTTTTGTTTTGTTCTGATATTTTTTATAGCTTTTTTATGTGGGTTTATTGTTATTTGGTCGGAGAATCTGTAATATCAAGAAACCTATTTGGTTTTGGTTTTGGAAACCTTTGGAGAGAGGGGAATGGAGAATTTTTGTAGGTTTGATTGAGTAGTTGCTTAGACATAGCAAGGTGGGTGCTTTGTGATTAGAGTATATTGTTTTTATGGATTCATGCGTGTTGAGGGACGTCCAGTTTATGTAGTGTATGTTGATGTTCAGCTGAAACCGGTTTTTCTTGATCAGTTCTTGGCTTTCTTGATTTATAGATATCAAACAGGTCAAGCCGTAAATATCTTGGCTAAATTGTAAATTTGTGATGAATTTAAGATTGAGCTTAATCTAATATGGGATTGTTGGTATTATAGATATCATAAGGTCATGTGCAAGGTATTTATGGGTTCAATAACATTAAGGTCGAATTAAGAGTAGTCTTCTTGTACAGGCTGTAATGTCATTTGTTGATGCTGCAGTTCAGGTGTAGATTATTAATTAGTTGGCAAAATGTGGCTGTTTTCTTAGAATGAAATGAGTTAATGCTTGTGCTGAAGGTAGATCTGTTTTGTTTAGCATACTATAGTTTGACTGGATAAAATATAACTGATTAACATAAACTCTTCTTTCTGGGTGCGTTTTGTTGCATTCATAAAGAGGTAATTTATGCATGCTACCTTAACTTTCTTTTCTTCACGGTGGTCAGGGTTGCTGGCTATATTGCTTTAATGATTGATTTTGACTCTCTGTTATTGAAGTAAAAGAATGTGTAGAAGTATGGTACAGATAATGTTTTCCGCATCTTTCAAATGTCCAGTACTCTATTTATGGAGGATGAACTGGACTTAATCACATCCCTGCCAATGGTGGGAAAGTTAGCTTTGTTACCATAATAAAAATGGGAACCTGCTAGATTCGTTTGTTTTCTCTTGCACATCATTTCTGTTAATTAAAGTTTATGCACAAGAAGAAAAATTATTTTTATGCTAATCTTGCGCTGAAATATCTTTATCTATTGCATCTTACATGAAATGAATTTTGAGCTGGTGAAAGGATTTTACTGTACTCAGACTTGTTAACTGTTAACAGTCATAAAACCGACTGAGAGTTTTTGGAGAATATGCTAAGATAACTTAAAATGGAAGAGTATTAAGGTCGGAGCTCAATAATATGCTATTTAGAAACAAGGTGCTGGAAATAATCACTGCTTCTTCAAATAATTATGCTTAAATCCTACGTAACAAGCTCTTTCTAGTCTTAAATCTGCTTGTTTTAATTAGACCATGTAGGTGAGTGTGGTGACCTTTTTATCCCTGAAGAGTCTTATAAACTTCCTATTATATTAGCAGTGGAGTTGGTAATGCTTTGATTTTAAGTTGGATGAAACTGGAGCAAATTTAGAATTACTTGACCATTTTTTTTCCTTATATATTTGAATGATGTAGGAGAATTGAGTGTTTTATTGGTTTTATTAGTATAAACTGTAATGAATTATCTGTAGTCTGTGCTCAAGTATTGACTAGTAGTCTTATGTTGGTTTCGTGATTTCTGGAAAATGAAGTAAATTTGCTGATGGTATCGATGGGCGTGAAATGGGTGCAAAGCGTCAGCGCTTGATTGATCAGGGACCTCCATTCTATGGAAGTTCCCCGAGTTCAAGTTTTATGTACAATCCACCACCTTATGGATATGTTAACCAACCTCCACCGTTCCCAGTTGTCCGACTTCGTGGTCTTCCCTTTGATTGCACAGAAGCTGATGTGGCTGAGTTCTTTCACGGTCTGGACATTGTTGATGTTCTATTTGTCCACAAGAGCAGCAAGTTCACTGGGGAAGCATTTTGTGTGTTGGGGTATCCTCTTCAAGTTGATTTTGCCCTCCAAAAGAATAGGCAGAACATGGGAAGGAGATATGTTGAGGTTTTCAGAAGTAAGAGGCAAGAATATTATAAGGCAATAGCAAATGAAGTTTCGGATGCTCATGGTGGTTCACCTCGCAGGAATATCCCAAGAGCTAAATCGCATGATGAGGGCAAGGACTCAGCTGAACATACAGGGGTATTGCGATTGAGAGGATTGCCATTTTCAGCCGGCAAGGATGATATAATGGATTTCTTTAAAGATTTTGTATTGTCAGAAGACTCGATTCATCTGACAATGAATTCAGATGGGAGGCCAACTGGCGAAGCATTTGTAGAGTTTGCAAATGCAGAAGATTCTAAGGCAGCAATGGCCAAAGATCGGATGACTCTTGGGAGTCGTTATATAGAGTTGTTTCCTTCATCACAAGAGGAGATGGATGAAGCAGTTTCAAGAGGACGGTGACTGTTTCTTAAGCGCCTTTTTCTTTTACTTGTTATCTGTACTTCTTTTGTTCTATTACTTGAATACTATTGTTTGGGAATTTGCTTTTCTAGTTTTCCCTCAGTTCAGCCGTAAGCTAACTGTTTCGAATATTCTGAGAGTAGATTTTTTTTATTATATAATCTTCTTAGATTGTATGCCTATTTTGATCTCTATGTCTTCATTTTGATCATAAGTTCATAACTTGACATACTGCTGGAGCTTAGGCAATCGACAAGACAAACGTCTCTTGAATTTACTTTTTGGCATCTTTAAGGTTGGCTACACTGATTAAATCACTAATCCATTGATTGTTTACTGAAAAATATCAAGTCATAGTTAAGGGAATAGATGTAAAAACAAGATGGTTTTTCCATGTCCAGTGTCGTCGACCTGAGGATGTTCCTTCCTGGAGTAACCACTTATATTTGTAGGATTTGACCCCGAATCATTTGTGTTTGAGATTTACTTGAGTTTTAGGAATGAGATTAGTTTTTCGTGTTCTCTGTTTGATACTTCTTCAGATTCAGTGAACTCAGAAGAATCAAATTCATTGATTTCACTGTACTTTAGAATATAGAAATATTGTGAAGATTCTTTTTACAGTCATCATCATCATCATCATCATCAAATTCAATCAACTAATAGAATTGTCTTGGAAATATTGCAGGTTGTTAAAACTGTACAAGTCAAATGCTAGTTAAATTAGGTTTCCATAATTGCATTTAGAAACTCAAGACTTTTGTTGTTAACTTGATGAAGCCAATTACTTGACTCTAAATTCTGTGTTCCTGCAACTGCATGCATGCCTTCGTGTGTTCCCCTTCATTCTAGAAATGAATCTTTCTTATTATTTTATTCTTCATAAATTGTACAACTCTGAAAGAGTTCTATGAAACATAGCTCTTTCATGCCTGTTTACAGCTCTTTCAACTATGGTCGACTTAACTTTGAGAAAATTATTGTATTGAAAAAATCTAAAATACCACGAAGACAACATCAACTGTGCTGCGGTCGAGTGGTTTAATAAAGACTTTTGGGTGTATTATTCAAGAGATTTTAAGTTCGAATCTCTTATCGGTTGCTAATAGGGATAATTACTGGAGCTCACTTGTAATTCTGCGATGCTATAGGTAAATTTTTTTATGTCACAAATGAATTTTCAAAAATAAACTCCATTTTTTGTCCAACCGGCATAAGATGAAGGAGCTCTAAGAGACAAAACACTCATGCTTATCCATATCGAAGCAAACCTCAACAAAAAACAGGTAAGATTTTACCCTAGTACTTGGCCAATAACAACCGTTAGATTAGAATCTTAAACTTCAATCCAAGGATGGAAACATAATAGTACCAAAACCAGAAGAAAACAAATTCATTAATCTCCAATGTCTAGAAGTTGAAAGCAGAACCCACGTGTGCATATAGTGATACCCATTTGACATTTCTAGGATCCCCTGAACCAGAAGTGGTGAAAAGGGCCATGAATGAATATAAAAATGGCTGACCACCAAGTGAGGAAGAAGCTAAGATTCAGGGGTTAGAGACAAAACTCTGCTTACTTCCTGAACTATCTTTGTTTTTGTCCAAATGGATTGATTAATTTATTGGATTAGTGTTAATCCTATAATTAATTAATTGAAAATGTATAAAAGGGTTTTGAGAATCTTAAGTATTAACCCTAGTTTATGACACCATGCAAACCTAACTTATTCCTAAGCCTGGTTCATCATCCTAGGTTAACATGGGCACCTTTTTTTCTATATCTTAATAGGGATTACTCTGGTGTGTTGACGAGATTGCTAAGTTTGAAAAAACTATTAGATATCTCTGGATAATACTAAAAACCATCATAAAAGTATCAAAAACCTCGTGCAAATTTATAAGGAAAAAAATATTTTTCGACTTGGTAATCTTCTAAAAACAAATGAAATTAATCTTGAAATTCTCTTAATTTAAGATTTCATTTTTTAAATTTTTTATGGAAAAAGAAAGAAGAAATATTTTGTTAGAGATGATAAAAACTATTCAAAAGTAAAAATTTAAACTATTAAATGTTAGGATGAACTACAATTTAAGTTCCATTAAAAAAAGATAAAATTATTCAAATTTAAGGATATTATAGATAATTTATCATCCTAAATAAAAATTCGAAAAAAATTATCACATAAACTTTAAAATTCAAGTTCCATTAAAAGAGGCTTCTCTAATATATTATTCATTAAATAAATAAAATGAAATTAAAAAGAAAAAAAAATAATAAATATTCATAGGAGTGTGGCCATCAATATATTAGGCTGCCCAAAAATATTCCTAATTAATAATCCCTAGATGCACATAATTTGAAATTCCTCTCTCTCTCTCTCTCTCTCTCTCTGTGAGTATTTTTCTCATCTCAGGGGCAGCGGGCAGCCCCCCTGCCCTAATTATTCTTTTAACTCAAAATATAAACCCCCCTTACATCTATCTCTATCCCCTCCAATCCAACCCTCTCCCTCTCTNATATTTTTATGTCACAAATGAATTTTCAAAAATAAACTCCTTTTTTTGTCCAACCGACATAAGATGAAGGAGCTCCAAGAGACAAAACACTCATGTTTATCCATATCGAAGCAAACGTCAACAACAAACACGAAGATTTTTCCTCAATACTTAGCCAATAACAACCGTTAGATTAGAATCTTAAACTTCAATCCAAGGATGGAAACATAATAGTACCGAAACCAGAAGAAAACAAATTCATTAATCTCCAATGTCTAGAGGTTGAAAGCAGAACCCACGTGTGCATATAGTGTTACCCATTTGACATTTCTAGGATCCCCTGAACCAGAAGTGGTGAAAAGGGCCATGAATGAATATAAAAATGGCTGACCACCAAGTGAGGAAGAAGCTAAGATTCAGGGGTTAGAGACAAAACTCTGCTTACTTCCTGAACTATCTTTGTTTTTGTCCAAATGGATTGATTAATTTATTGGATTAGTGTTAATCCTATAATTAATTAATTGAAAATGTATAAAAGGGTTTTGAGAATCTTAAGTATTAACCCTAGTTTATGACACCATGCAAACCTAACTTATTCCTAAGCCTGGTTCATCATCCTAGGTTAACATGGGCACCTTTTTCACTATATCTTAATAGGGATTACTCTGGTGTGTTGACGAGATTGCTAAGTTTGAAAAAACTATTAGATATCTCTGGATAATACTAAAAACCATCATAAAAGTATCAAAAACCTCGTGCAAATTTATAAGGAAAAAAATATTTTTCGACTTGGTAATCTTCTAAAAACAAATGAAATTAATCTTGAAATTCTCTTAATTTAAGATTTCATTTTTTAAATTTTTTATGGAAAAAGAAAGAAGAAATCTTTTGTTAGAGATGATAAAAACTATTCAAAAGTAAAAATTTAAACTATTAATTGTTAGGATGAACTACAATTTAAGTTCCATTAAAAAAAAAGATAAAATTATTCAAATTTAAGGATATTATAGATAATTTATCATCCGAAATAAAAATTCGAAAAAAATTATCACATAAACTTAAAATTCAAGTTCCATTAAAGGAGGCTTTTCTAATATATTATTCATTAAATAAATAAAATGAAATTAAAAAGAAAAAAAATAATAAATATTCATAGGAGTGTGGCCATCAATATATTAGGCTGCCCAAAAATATTCCTAATTAATAATCCCTAGATGCACATAATTTGAAATTCCTCTCTCTCTCTCTCTCTCTCTCTCTGTGAGTATTTTTCTCATCTCAGGGGCAGCGGGCAGCCCCCCTGCCCTAATTATTCTTTTAACTCAAAATATAAACCCCCCTTACATCTATCTCTATCCCCTCCAATCCAACCCTCTCCCTCTCTCCTTCCCTCCCGGCTCCTTTTTAGGGTTTTATTCGTGCATTAGATCATGTTAAGATTTTCTTTTTTTTAATTCTAGTTTGAGTTGAGTTTGTTTGTGGGTTTGGTTAGTATTTTTAGGTGGAGTTGTTCATGCTCTTCTTCTTCTTCATAATCTCTCATATGGGTTTGTGTGAAAACCTGTGGGTTGGTGATCAAGTTTGAGGTCGGTTAAATTTACTGAGTCTTTTGGGGAGTAATTGTGAGCTTGAAAAGGTTTTGCTTCTAAAGAGTCTTGGTGTAGCCAAAGCTTTTTTCCATCATCTTTTCAGTCAAATTTAGTAGCTTTAAAGTTTTTTCTTCTTTTATATTTTTTCTTAGTTTTTTGTGTCTTCAGTTTGTTCTTGGTCAGTTTTTAGTACTGTAATTCTTGTACTTCAACTGAGGAAGAAGAAGAAGAAGAAGTTTTTTTTTTCTCAGTTCTCTGAAAATGGCTCCATGTGAAAGGACAAGAGCAAGAACAAGATCATCATCAGCAGCAGCAGCAGCACCAAAGGCAAGAAGAACCACTCAAAATAAGAAGAAGAAGCAGAAGGAGGAGAAGAAGAAGAAGGAAGTTCAAAAAGCTTCATCATCATCTACCATTACAACTTCATCAGATGATTTTTCAAAGAACAATAATAATAATACTAATATTAGTGATCATCATCACCTTGATTCTTCAAGTTCACCAAGTGGGTGTTCAACACCAAAAGCTGAGAGATACAGAATACCAGAGATTATGACATGCCCACCAGCTCCAAAGAAGCAAAGAGTTGTCTCAAATTGCTCATCACTGCAGAGAACTCCCATTGCCTTCTTCGCCCCTCCCGATTTAGAGCTCTTCTTCTTCTTTGCTCTTCGTGACATCTCAGTCTGATAAATTATATGCCTGAATATGACATGATATCAATATATTTTCTTCAATTTCATAGTTGAAGTATAGTGTGGAACTTGAGATTATATTTTTGAGGTAGGTTTCTTTCTCCTTTTCTTTTAATTAATAATTAGGGTATATTAATTATCATCACTATTTTTAGGGGGGTTTTTTTTATAGTTTTTTTATGGATGTATTGATAACTTTGGAGAGTTTGAAGAGTCCAAAATTAGTGTAATTTTTTTTTTTTTTTTCTTATTACCAGGGTATTCTGGTTAGTTTGCGTACACCTCAACTAATTACTCGAGGCTTGGAACTGCCGGCTAAATTAGTGTAATTTGATTAAGGGTGGATTTTGAGGTTTGTTTGAGTGTGATTTTAATTTTATTTTGAAGAAGTTTGTAAGTCAACTTGAGAAATTAAAGAATTAATTAAGCATATGCTTTTCTTCTTCTTCTTAACATTATTGTTTTTTTGGTAGGGTTAAAGTGATTATGCATGGAATCTTTATCAACAATGTGCTTGTACTTATAATTAATTTAATTTACAATTAATCTTAATTTATGGCTTTTATTTTTATTTATTTGTTGGGTGTGTAGTGGGAACCCTTAACAACCCACTAAAGACATTTGATTAATTGATTAAGAGATTTAATTAAGTCCTTAATTGGTGGCTAGAATTGCAAAATTAATTAAATGGGTCCAATTGAATAGTATTTTGATTGTAATATTATGAAAGTGAAAGTGAAAGTGAAAACTATGTCTTCTTCACACACACAAACACAAATCCTGACTCCATAAAAGACTTCCTCAAAAGGTCTCTTCCTATGTAATTCCACTTTTGGTGGGATTTTATGTGAGATTTTTTTACTTTCAGGCTCTAGCCTAGGTTTCTAGTCTCTACTTGGTATACGGAATAGTAATATCAAGACGGTTTCGGATTTTGTACGTGCAATCGTATCATTAACTTTATTTAAAAAAAAAAAAAAAAGTGGGGGATTATTATTATATATCGTGGATGATATAGCTTTATCTTCGGATTTTGCTTGTAACCTAAAACGCGTTTTAACAGTTTAAAAGTTCACGACTATTTAATTAATATTCGGTAAAAGTATTAAAAAAAAAAATCTCGTAATTAATATAACATTATGATGTAAATCAATCAAACAATTATTATTGCTTTTAAAACATGTCGAGAATATTTACTCTTTTGAACTAGAATTAGTAGATGTGACATTGAACAAGAAGGTTAGAATAACCATCAGGGGAAGTAAAAACAGCAAGAAAAACACAGTGGAAAATGAGAGAAAATGACGAGAAAATAGGATTTGTTTGGATGGAAAGTGGTAAAACAAAAGTCGGAAAGTGAAGATGGTGTCAGAATGTGGGTGTATATAATCCAACAGTCCAAGTTCAACCCATCGTCAATAAGAGAGAATCCAATGAAACGACTCGTGCGGGTTGCGAATTGCGATCATTGTCACACGTTTAGAATCTCAAGACAAAAAAAAATTATTATTTTCTTCATAATTATATTTCTCAATTATTTCTTAGTTATTGTATTTTAAGACGTAACTTAAAGGGCTTTTTTTTTTTAATTAATTTATTTTAAATAATAAGAGATTTTAAATGATAAAATATCACTTGAGATATAAAATTTAAGATATGTATAAGATATTCTTTTTTTTTTTAATAAATTCTCTTAAAATCAAATTTAAATTTAATTGTTTGAATATTCAATCAGGGTTAAGGACATTAATCCGTCTTGAGACATGATACAATAACAACGATCTTTTTAAGGTTTAAAAATGACAAAGATTCTTTTGTTATTAAGTTTTAGATGTTAAATTAAACAGTAGAAAGACAATTTGGTAATATTTACGAACTCTTAAGATGTAAATTTTAACGATTCACTAATAATTTGTTAACGGTAGTGAAATTTTTCTTATTTTATCATATCTCTGAATTATGTCTAATATTTTTCTTGTGAAAAAAAAAAAAAATATTAGAAGAAATTATCAGATAGATAATTTATATGCGAACTGATAATTTTTTGAAAGCATATTTCGGAATTTATGAAATTATTTCCAAGAAACAACCGCCACCCAAATTGACTCTCATTCTCCAGGTACTTTATAGTTTATAATAGAAATTAATTAATTTGTTTATTTAATAAGTTCCCAATTATTGAATATTAAATGTCAAAAAAGTGATATCGAGTTGTAGCTAATTAATTTATTGAAGGGGTTGGTGGCTAAATTCAAACTCTAAACATTCATATTGAAAAATTATACTAAAGCCAAAAGTGGAATTAATGAAGTCTAATTAAATGTTTTTATTTATTCTAGTGGGGTGGAAATCTAATTTCTAACCCTTTCAAAAAAAAAAAAAAAAAAAAAAAAAAAAAAAAAAAAAAAATCTTGATATAATGGAATATGGTTTTGAATTTTGAATTATTGTGTTTTGATTTTCAATATGAAAAATACGTTTGGTATTCAATAGATGTTTTATTTTTAAAATTCAAAAAATTAATTTTTTTTGTTTGTTTTCAGATTTCAAATTGGTTTTATGATATCTTTTTGGAAGTATATTAATTTAACGGATTTTGTCAAAAATTAGAAGAAATTTACCAGATAGAGTCTATTGTAAAAGTGATAGGTTGACGGTAAATATTTTCAAAAACCACATTTTTGCTTACTTCCTTAAAATGAGTAATACTACATATACATTATTTTTTATACAATATTATATGATAAGATATGATTGACTAATTTAAAGTTAAAATTAAACTTTCACCCAATCATATCTTGTTACATAATGTTGTATGGAAATGATGTATATGTAGTATTATTCCGTTAAACTTATTAAGTGAAACATTCAAAACATATATATGTTGATGTGTGATTTTGACGCCAACTAATCGCATGTGGGAAATGTTGAGCTGACTCAGAAGATACATGTATATATGGGATATTGAGTTGAATAAGAGATGAAGAACAATGTTTAAAGTGGTTCGGATGCTTAAACAAGCGAGTCTTACGTTCACTGATATTGTATTAATATGTGAGATCAAGTCGAGTCTAGCGAGCTGATTTATAGTGTTGAGAGTATAAGTGAATAAAAGAGAGAGAAAGAGAGAGAGAGAGAGAGAGAGAGAGAGAGAGAGAGAGAGAGAGAGAGAGAGAGAGAGAGAGAGAGAGAGAGAGAGAGAGAGAGAGAGAGAGAAAGAGAAAATGCAATTACAGAGTGAAATTAGCTAATCCCACAAACGGGAGAGGAGTCTTCTATTTATAGTGGGACGAATTAAGGTAATGATTACTGAATCTAGGAGTGGGTTAGATTGCCGTGTAAATCCTTCTCTATGTCCCGTTGCTCACCTACTCGAGTGATTTCCTCGACTTGTGCTGGGATTGGACACGTGGAACGCCTCCAGCCTTTCGCTAGTCTGGCGCACACTCACTGCACTGGCAGGAGCATGCCGCTAGCGTCAACATGCGACGTGGCTGTGTGTGAATGGTTGCAAAGCCTACCTAAGCTCTGACCACCTATGCTGATAAGGCTTGACATCAGCCCTACTTTTTTAGGCATAACAATATATATAACCGTCTCAAGAATATTTGGGACCCTAGAAAAGAGTTACTTTAGGATCTTCTAATAATATAAACATATATTTAAAAAAATATTTCAAATTTATTTTTCTTGCCTTTTGAGATGCAAAATCACTAGGAGAGGTGGACAATGACCGGAGGGCTAATGGGGTCAGGTTGTGGGGGGTTTTGGAGAGCAGATGCTGGAGAAGCGATGGGTGGTGAAATTGGTGATTTCTGATGCTAGGATTGACCGAAAAATAATTGAGAAGTCGCAGCCCAAAAGATATCAGTGGTCTGTGATTGGTAGAGTAAATGGATGAGGTATGATAGGGGTTTTTGTGAGAGGGCTAAGGGGAGGAAGATGGTGGTGTTGGGGAAGGCCAACAACGCTGGGTACATGTCAAAAATGCTATAAATGGTTGTCTCACGTGGTGAACTTGGATTGCGAGATTTGTCAAAAATCAGTCAAATCGAGGGCTATCAAGGTTGGGGAAAACACTTGGGAAATGATAAAGTGATAATTTCGGTCAATTTTGGTGAGAAAATCGACTAGAATCAACTCCAAACGGCTTGCGGCGGAAGAGGGTGGAGATGATTTATGTGAACGTCAAATTTTGAGATTGAATTAGGGGTGAGTAATTTGAGACATGTAAATGACTATTTTAGCCTTTCATTGTTAAAAGAAATCCAATGTGTTAATTTAGGGGTGTAAATTGTAATATATGAAACTAGAGATACAAACTTACTATTTCGTAGGAATTGTAATATATGAATCCAAGGGTGCCTCACCTGCCTAACCCTTGAGCCGACCATATATATATATATATATAGGAATTGTGAAATCGTAGGAGCTTCGATCGATTAAAAATAGATTTAAGCATTTAGGGGCGATTATAAATGGCATAATTGTCATTTGTCAGTTTCAGGTGATATATATAATCATTCTCTTCTACAACACTTTGAATTTTTTTTTTATTTCATATTTTTTTTTTTTTTTTTTTTTTTTTTTGCGTAACCAGGGTGTTCGGGCCAGCGTGCACATACTAAATCTCTAGGTCCATTGAACATCCTATAAGCCTAATAAGCTAAGTAAGCCATAAATATAATAAATGATCACTTTGTGAGACCCGAACATAACACCTCTGGGTTCTAAACTCTTGTCATCCGATCACACACAACAAGCGGTTCAGATATGTATTCTTGTCGGCAGTTTCGCACTAAACCAGAAAATTTTTCAAATAAACATATAAGAAATCTAACTAAATATTCTTGTTGTACAAAACTATCGACAACAATATAATATAAAAAAATCCGAACGTCTGACATTTGAGAATATAATATTTTTTTGGTATTAAAAAATAATAGTACTATTAACACATAATAATTTTGGTTGAATAGTTGATATAGATGTTGAAATTGAAAGAATAAATAAGGTGAGAGCCAAAATTAGCCTTTTATGGCAAAGTGGTGGTGGTACATTTGAGGAGAGAGTGGGAAAAAGAAATAATGAGATGAGTTTAAAAGAGGAATGAGTGAATACAACTTTAGCTTTGAGTTTCCAACTTTTGGAAATAAATTATTTGTCGAGGATGGAATTTTCATTCCTGTCCCTCTTCTTTATATCATCATTATCTCCCCTTTTTTTTAGGCCTTTTCTTTTGTCTCTCATGTATCATGATGCATGCATGCATGTATGTATATACATCATCTACAAGTTAGATCATTTTATGGGACTAAAATGATAGTTTACAACTCCGATCCAATGGTATATATGCATTATCCTTATAAATTAATATCAAGACGTGGATACATATAACAATA